GAAAGGATCAAATGCAGAGTCCAACGGACTTCCCAGCGATACCCGCGCCGATCTCAGGAAGGCAGGGGATTCCCACTGATCCCTTAACTCCCCTGTATGGTCCTCTGCACGTGGAATGCCCGTGACCGGGATTACTGTTTCGAACGCGATCGCCTCTTTTGCACGAGGTGAGGGAGAGCGATTGATTTCGAGTGTAGCTAAGCATTCGGAACTTCGAGTGACCTGTATGCGCCATCAGAAATCCGTGAATCTCACTGTAATTTTTTGTGAGAAATACCTTGAGCTTGACACGCTTCTCGAAGTGAAGATCCCAGGGCAACCCCCTTCCAGGCGTAGCCTTAGCCTCCTCATTGTCTGTCCACCTGGCGCCATCCAGCCAGAGAGTGACCTCATCACCAATCCCAACCTTGGTGCGAGCGACTTCCTCAGCGCAAAAACCGTGGAAGGTGACCTTGACCTGGCCGTTGTGGCGTCGCAAGCGAAAATCGGGTTCGGCAAGAAGAAGACTGAAAGCTCGATTGGAGTTTGAAAATGGCCACACGAGGGTGACAACCGCATGAAAAGATCGTCGGCTCACGTCATCTAATGTTGGAGAGAGCTGTGCAATGGGAACTGGGCTCGACTGCGCAGGAACTTCATGCGACTGGGAAGAGTCGCTAGGTTCCATGATTGCAGCTGTCGAAACGGAGCGGATTCGGCATCGCTCTACCGCGAATCCAGCATAATTCAGACGATTGCTGGCAGCAAAAGAAGTATTGCTTGTCGAAGAAAAAGGAAATCTAATAATAAAAAGAGTTAACTCAATGCCGGAGCAGAAGAGGTTTGAATAGAAAGGATGTGCCTCTGCTCTGCTCAGTCGGGTTGCCGTGTCAAGGCGGAACAATGAGTCTCGCAGAGTGCCGCCCGTCGCGTCACCAGTCACTGGGTCACATCATTACCATACAATACACATACTTGCCCTATTCACTGTAACAAATCCACAATAACAGTCATAGCTCTAGAAGGTGGCTGGTTGGAGTAGTCGAGCACTAGTCTAGTCTAGAGAATTGAACAATAGAACAATAGTAATCGAAGCCAAGATTATTTGATGAGATTGATTCACTGTCAGTAATTATGTAATTACAAGGACATTAGAATGCGCATCTTTTTGTTCAATATCGCATCCAAAGAAAAAAAAGCAAAGAAAAATAAAAATAAAAAAGAAAGAGGAAGAAAAAAAGAGAGATGAGGAGGGATACAGAGAGAGAGTCTCCATCCTTGACTATCCCTGACTTGTGTCCCCATGTAAAATACCACAACTCGAAGGAGAAGATGGGGGATTCAGGAAGAATTGCTTCTGATATCATGCTTACATGAAGAGCTGTGATGGTTAGTCAGATCAGGCAGTAAAGAATAGGAATCATCAGGATCAGAAAGACATACTAAAGCAAATCAACCGCAATGGGAGCAGCTGAATCGTATAGCAGTTGCTACATCGTAGTTGGATGATGAACATCTACGATTGCGCGTGAGTGGGGAAATCCTCCGCTATCAGCATCCGCCGGTTGCGTGGAAACTTTGGGATGCTCTGGACCACACTCCGTCTCTCGATAAGATCGGAAGCGAGTTTATTATATAACGCACCTTAAATTCCCATGTTTCGCACACTGAATACTCTACTTTGACCAGAATATATACTTTTGAGAGATGACCAGCCTCAACACGGTTCGCAGTGTGGCTATCATTGGAGCGGGACCATGTGGACTCGCGGCCGCAAAGTATCAGAGCCCTCACCTTCTATAAGTTTATTCTTCATATAATGACAAAGTGCCAGATACCTTCTCGCAGAAAAATGCTTTGATAAGATCGATATCTTCGAGCAGAGGAGCAGAGTCGGCGGCGTTTGGATTCATAATCCCGCAGCAGAAAAGGCGAAAATCGCGATCCCGGTGCCCCAGCTGAATCCTCATCCACCGCCTGAGGAGCCCATATGGCGCTCGACAAGCGAGGGACGCCGCGAAGCGACATTCGTCTCCCCGCTTTACACCCAGATGGAAACCAATATTCCCAAGATGATCATGGAATATTCCGAAAAGCCCTTTCCTGCTGATATTCAACTCTTCCCCAAGTTCGAAGAGGTTCTGGAGTATCTTGAAGATTATGCGAAAGACGTTAAACATCTCATTCGTTTTGAGAACCAGGTGCAGGAAGTCAAAATTGAGGATCCATCCAGGAGTACCTGGGCCCTAACGAGAAAAGATCTGCGCAGTGGACAAATAAGTACAGATATTTACGATGCCGTGGTTGCTGCGAATGGCCACTACAGTGTCCCTTATATACCGGCTATCAAGGGGATCGAAGCTTGGAACGAGGCATATCCTGGCGTCATTTCTCACTCTAAAGTATATGACTCACCTGATGCTTTTCGAGACAAGAAGGTTGTCATTGTCGGAAATTCCGCGTCAGCCATTGATATCGGAAACCAGATATCGCAAGTGTGCCAGCAACCTCTCCACGCCGCTCAACGGTCAGAGGCTAGTGTTGTACTTCCAAATGTCCCATCTGACAGAGTCGCACACGGTGAAATCGTGGAATTCCTCTCCCCCGCTACTTCTGACCGCGGTGTCAGATTTGCAGATGGCAGCATAGAGGACAAGATCGATGCCATATTATTCTGTACAGGTTATTTTTACGCATATCCATTTTTGTCCTCGCTGGAGCCACCGGTCGTCCGCGATGGTTCTCGGGTGCTCAACATCTATCAGCAAATGTTCTACATTGAGCATCCTACCCTGGTGTTTCCCGTCTTACCCCAGAGGGTTACCCCCTTCCCTCTAGCTGAGAATCAAGCCGCCGTGTTTGCTCGCGTCTGGGCTGGACGGCTCGATCTGCCCTCGAAAGCGGAGATGAAGGCCTGGGAGGATTCTGTCGTTGCCCAAAAGGGACCAGGAAAGTCATTCCACCTGTTGCCGTACCCCCTAGATGCGGAATATCTCAATTTCTTGTACGATTGGGCAGAAACTGCTCGGCCACGGCCCGGGTTAGATAACGATGGGAGGGGCAAGAGAGGAGTGAGATGGGGTTGGAAAGAGAAATGGATACGGGCTCATTTCCCCGAGATTAAGAAAGCGTTCTCGAGCAAGGGCGACGAGCGTCATTCCATCCGTACTATTGAGCAGCTTGGGTTTGATCCTGACGGTTGGAGGAAAGAACTGGAAGGGCAAGCGCCATTAGTGAATCTTTGAATGAGGATAAATAGATAGGCCGCTAGTTAATTGTGTGAATAGAAGAATAGAAACACAGCTTGATTGTGCAAGATATCGCTCTGAATTGATTGTCCCAATCGGGTAAACTGGAAAGCTCATCACGTGCGGGCGATCACCCGCAGCTCACTCCACCAGCAACTCCCAGAGCTCTTGCACCTTTCACGCCACCTCAGCGATCAATCACTCCAGCTGTCCTGGATTTATATAGTTATATGGATATCGGTTTTCCTTTGGTCTGTCGTCTCTCTTTCTCAGCATGACCTCCTGTTTCTTTGTACAGCTTACTCCAGGCGCATGATGGCGTGCTACCGCGGCAGCCCTCTGCATGTCCTTACCACCAGAAACGGCGCATTGAGATACGTCAAACCCCCGATTCCTTGTCACGATCGGGGTGGATTTCCTGTTCTTCCTTCGTGCATCCCTGGTGATTGAACTGTCGCCGACAGCGTCTCTACCTTCTTCGCTTCTTTTTTTCTCCGACTCTTCCTTTCGTCCTCGGTATACAATCGTCTCGAGTCCCGCGGCCGGAAGAACCAGACATCAGACCACTCTCGAGTCCTCTCCTTCTCGACAAATAACAATAAATCTACGTGGCGTGGTTTCGCGATCCCTTGTCGGTTATCTTCGCCGTTTCCCTTCGTCTCCTCGCTCGGTTTTTCTCGACGGCCACGTTCCGTCCGATAGTTTGTTCGGCATCATAAACACCACGCAGCACATTCAGCTCCCTAAATGCGCCATTGAAATATAAGAGCTCCCCTGGCATCCCAGACATTTTTTGAAGGAATTTTTTGTTGGCCAGCCATAAAGTCCCAGGAATAACGCGCTCCAATTCTCAGTTGATACTCTCTCGAGGGCACCTTCACCACCCGTGACTTCAGCCGAGATCTTGAGAAGAACGCCAATTGCTGGTCAGACCTCACAAGCCGACTTTACACGACTTAGTGGCGCGTTTCACGCGCTCCTAAACACTATGGATAATCAACCGTTGAACAACAAACCTTCACCAGTGCCCGAGTCACTAAGGAAATATGACAGCATCCCAGGGGCTACACCAAGGGAAAAGCTCAGAAATGCCCACGCGCAGTTACGCGCCAGTGCCAATGCTGGGCCTTTCCGGACTGTCAGCGCAAGCGCGACTCCATCTTCTGCAGGAGACATTGAGCCTGCCCCTCCAGCGTCCATTCCCGAGGCGGCATTACCATTGAGCGTGCGTGTTGACAAAGAACCTGTTCCGCACGATGCATCGGTTGAAGTTCACCAACCACCTGCCGATACTACTGTGTCTCCCCCATTACTCTACGCGGAGCAGCCTGATGTCCAGACGATTCAACCAAGCGCTCTGACCTTTGATCAAACTGAAAGCTACCCTCCTGGTTCGCTTCGGTTGGGGCCTTCGGAGTTTGCCATAACCATGCCAATGGATTCCAGGGTTAAGGATCATTACGAAAGGGCCCTCGCTCAGCAGATGCGCACGATTCAACGATTTCTTTCGGGCTTCACTGATGCTGAGGTGAGTCTCAGCAGTAAAGAAACTCATGCACTATCAGCTAACACCCCGGGTAGCAGGATCAGATCATATCGGCAATCCGTGGACTGATCGAGAGGCTCGATCACATTACACTCCATCCAGATTTGACCATGGCCGAACACATCAAAGACTCAGAGCCCGACCCCCAAAAAGAAGCTGCATGGGCTGAATATTCAAGCTCGAAATTCCAGTTTCTAGGCCACTTTATTGAAGTGGCGACAACGCATGACCTCCATATTGTAGTCATGGCGAAGAAAGGGAAAGCTGTCGAGTTTGTTGAGCGATATTTCCTGGGGAAGGGGTTTATATACACTCGTCCACGCCATGAAATGCGTGGCAATGTTGAAGTTTCAATGACGAACGGATCCTTAAGTGTCGCCATCCGGTCAACACAACATGACGGTGTGCTAGAGACGTATAAGCCGCCTTCGGCAATCATTGCTCTCGATTCATCTTTCAACGCAGCCAACCCTTCTGTGGAGCACCTACGGACAACTTACGCTCGGAATGGAAATCTACTGCCCGTCATTCTGTTGATTGTGTCCAATACTAGTGAACATATCCAGCGTTGTTTACCTGACGTCTCTGAGCTTCAAAAACTGCGGCTACTTGTTCACTGCGTCACAAGTCTCAGCCGTGCCGTTGGGGATCTTCAAGACGATGCATTAGGTGTTCATGAAGACGCAGAGGAGGTTTTATCTTATCTTTTGTCTGATAACTTCAACTTGAGCTGGGCTCTCCCTGCTATTGAACCACTTAATATGCCCAATTCCGAGGAGACAGCTGGGTCTGGAGCAGTCGGATCGACTTATGAGCATCTATCCGCAGGCATGACCCCTCTCCAAAAACGCGTACTTGTAAGTCATGACGTTTTGATATTTCGTGGGACTATCTGACAAGGGTGCAGGACACCACAGAGGATGACGCTCCTGATTCCAAGAGACAACGTCTCACATCGTCACAATCACAATCGCAAGAACAGAGCCAGTTCACAGACTCTAGCAAACCTCCAAGCCAGAGACTGGATACAGACTTGAAGGCTCTTGAAAATAGTCTTCTCCGAATGAAGAGTGAACATGCGAATGAGCTCAACCAGCTTAAGACGACCTTGTCCAACGTCGAGGCTCGATTAGTGGAGCGGGAAAAGATGTTGGAGTCCCTGCAGCATCGATATGAAAGTCGCACGAGAGAACTCCACCAGATGCGCAAGGAACGTGACAATCTAGCGGACAAGCTATCAAAGGCAGAGCAGAGGATAGAAAGACAGCAGGACGAGATCACGAAGCTCAAAGACGAGCGCACCCAGCTGAAACACGACCTAGAGGCCGCCAGAAACGATCTGAAAGCGGAGGGTGGCCGTCTCGAAGAGCTAGAAGCTGCGCGTGAGGAGGTCCGCAGGCTGACAAAGGAAAACGCAAGTCTCGAAAGAAAGGCAGAGTACGAGAGGAAGCAAGCCGAGTATACACGTGAGCAGTACCAGAATGCTTCGACAGCGGCTGCGCAATCCGCGATGGAGATTCGGCAGCTTAAAGACGAGAATCAGCAGCTGAAGCGCAAAATCGCGGCCGAAGCAGTGCAGTTGAGGCAGGTGAAGACGAAGAATGACGAAATGAGACACCTTCAGCGGGTCAGGGAATTAGAGCTGATGGTGGCGTCGCGCGACGAGTTGCTGCGCCGGAAGGAGGATGAACTGCGCGAGCTCAAGCGGAATCGACCCGCGACACGATCTACGAGTACGCAGCCTCGCAGCCCCAAATGGGGTCCCGGCAACAGCCGTCCGACAAGCCCTGGTATCACCAGCAACAACAGCAGCAACAACAACAGCAGCAACAACAACAACAACAGCAGCAGCAACAATGGCCGGGGCAGCGCACTTCGGTTCAGCTCAGAGATGTCCACGTTATGATCAATTGTACAGGATTTTGGCTTTCTTTTTTGTTTGTCTGGCTGCTTGCTGGCGGTCTAGTCCAGGTAGTCTTGTTTTTGTTCATGTCGGCGGTTATATTCGTCTAGCATACCCTTTTTTTTCCGTCACTATTTTTTTTATTGCCTGAATGTGATGTCTGTCTGGCTCTGACTGAACTGAACTCTTGCAATCCAAGCTGAATAGACTCCTCAGTTTCCTCTCTCAGCTCGGGTCAGGATCAGGTCTTGTTAGGATGGATGGATGGATGTAATTTTTTCCTACCTCTGGCGTCCGTCGTCGTCGGTAGTGAAAGCTTGCCTTCTCCGTGTTCTCTCTCTCCCTCTATCTCCCCCTCCTAAGCTTGAGGCTTGATGAGGTCCTATGTTTGATGTTTCCGTCTTAATCCCCCCATCTCTTCCCACCCTTTTTTAGGAAAAATTACTGGCGTGCCAAATGACACATGACATACGCACATGCACGAAAAGGGCCAAAAAAGGAATGCATGTACTCCGTATGCGATTTGCTTAGCTCTCCTGACCTATCCTGCCCTGTCCTGTCCCTGCTTGCCGAGACAGAAGAAATCAATCGATCAATCGGTAGATCGACCGGTATTGATAGATAGATATCCCTACATCATTGGATGTCAATAATGACAGAACTTTTTTTATTTTCTATTTTTTGCTCGATTGAAAGGGGAAAAAACCACGAGAACGCAAGATAGAAATGTATTAAGGTATTAAGAAAGATCTAACTACTTCAATCATATCGTATATTGGAAAAAAAATCAGAAGAGAAAAGAAAAAGCAAATAAAGCAATATCAAAAACACAAGGCATATCCAAAAATATAAATTATCGCACACCTATACATCAAGCAGAAAAATAGCAGAGCCAAACGATTCCCCCACATCCCTCATCTTTAAGCCAACGAAGAAAAACGAAAACGAAAACCAAAGACACTCAGAAAAAAAACCAGAAAAACAAAAAGATCAATCACACACTTATGAATCCCCCCCCCCCCCCAACAAACGAATCCGGTCTACCTACCGAAATGCCTTCTCAAGAAACGCAGATAATTCTTTGGCTTTGTCTCCCTTCATCATGGTGAAGTGGTTCGCGTCCGAAATGGTCTCGATGGCAGCGACCTTATCTTTGCCCACGAGGGTGTCCCACCCGTTGGGACCAAAGTCCTTCCGGTCGTTCAGCAGCCACAGCATCTCGCGGGGATCCTTGCTGCCGTCAGGGGCAGGCTCCGGGCGAGGATCGCCCGGCTTGCCGCAGACGCCGTCCTTAGCCCAGATGAGGTATGTCTTTGGGAGCCGGTCGCGGTACTGCGGGTCGTCGCTTGGATACGGCACCGCCTTGTATGCGTCGAGCGCGTCGATGAAGGCCATGAAATGCGGGAGCAGCCAGCTTGGCGGGGGCGCGTTGCCTTCGCCGAAGATTTTCATCGAGTCGAAGAACTGATACAGCCGAGGCGGAAGCTTCTCGAGGCCGATGGGGAACGGTGAATCGAGAAGGATCAACCGCTCAACTGTCTCACCTTCTTCGAGTACGAGCTGGCGGGCCGCATCATACGCGCAGATGCCGCCTGCGGACCAGCCGCCCAAGTTGTACGGTCCTTTGGGTTGTCGCCGTCGGATCTCTGCCACGTATGGCGCAGTGAGATCACTCAGCCCACAGTTGAGATTCTCAGGTGTCTTCATGTATGGACAGTTCAGTCCGTAGACGCAGACATCTGGAGAAGTCTTAGGCAAGCTCGCATAAGACGTCGCAGAGCCCGACCCGTCAGGGAACAGGAACAGGGTCTTTGTCGCCGTTTTTGGGTTTCCTTGAAGAAGAATAGAGGTGGCAGGAGGGTGTACTACCTTCGATTCGATCAAAGCTTCCGTCTTGAGAGCCACCGGGGCCGGTATTGAAACAGGAGCGGGTGAAGGTGGCAAAGGTGCTTTAGGCTTCAAGTCAAGAGCAGTCTCGATGTCGTCCAGCGTCTGATTCTCGATGAAGAAGTCGGATGGCAAGTCGAGATCCAACGTCTCTCGCAGCTTCCCAAGCACTGTCAGAGATAGGAGAGAGTCCATCCCCATCTCACCGAGGTTCGCGGTTCCCGTTAATTCCTCTGGCGGCACACCGATTTCTTCAGAAAGCGTCTGACGGATCACCTTCATTGTACTGCTTTCCCCAGCTTGCATGAATTTCGGGCCTGGGGTACAGAAATCCCCGGGAGTTCCCGGTGTGGAGGAATCTGTTGACGATGAGGAATCTTCAAAGAATGCAGACTCTTCTGACGACTCGCTGCTGTCCGACGGACTGGCCTGTAGCAAGAATTGCTTCAGGTCCTTGACACTTGGGTGGTCCATAAATACGGACGAATCGACGTCAATATTAAGCTCCTCGCGGAACTTGCTCGAGATTGTCAGAGAAAGCAGTGAGTCGACTCCATAATCCGCAAATTGGAGATCATCGGACAACTCAGATTCAGGTACGCCAATCTCACTTGCCAAGATTTTCAATGCTTGAACAAGGACGCTAGGCGTAGCTGACTTAACTGCTGGCTTTGCATTGGATACTTTCGCAATGGGTTCAACTGGGCGCGGAGGGACGGCCTTCGTTGCCGGCGACAGACCCTTGAAGCCACCGGCAGGGGGAAGGACCGTGTTGAGCACTTGACGTGGAACGCCTTGGAACTTTATTGAAGTCAGTAAGCCTAGAGTAACATAATGATATTAACCATAGATACTCACCTTAACCCCTCCATAAACCGCGATGATGTCGTCCCCCTCGAATACGTAGACATCTCCAGCGTAGATGTTGTTCTGCCAAGGTTGCATCTTCACATAAGTCCGGTACGTAGTATCCGCTGAAAACTTCTTCAAGCAACGCATCGAATCCCAGCCGTGATTCACGAAGACGAGTGTTTTTGAGTCGGTGGCATCATTTGCGTTCATTACAAAGCCAGACAAGTGTCCAAGACTGTCGATCCAGAATGGGTTGCGATGGAAGTTCCCTGGTTTGGCTTGGAACTTGACTCGCGCAGTAGCTTCATACTGTTCGCTGTCCAGAATAACTTCTTCCATCGACTTGTAGTTCGAGTCATATTCCACTAAGGCGCTAAAGAGCTTGTAGACCATTCCTCGTCCTAGTTTGTGGCTTTCACCGTCCGCGGCCCTCTGGAAGAGTCGATCGATGCTCCTTCGAATCAGATATGCATGGCGCCTCCACTCTTCCTTCCAGACATTGCAGTCCGAGAACTTGACCAAGCAGCTCCCATGGTCAACCATCTTTTTGCCATCTGAATTGACAGAATATATCTGCACAGAGGCACATTTCTCATTCCAGTCTGCTGTAGCAGTAGCCCGGAACATCTGTGGCCCATCGTTCTTGGCGATTAAAGGCTTGGGGACGGTCATATTGCAAACCTCGAGTCCGGATCCTCTCAGCTCTGGTTTAAAGTTTTCGATGAGATAATCTCCAAGTGTCTGGGCAATATCTGCGTATAGAGACTAGAGATGTTGTCAGCAACAGCCCAGACGTCATAACACATGTTCACTCACCGAAGGACATAAGGCCGCTCCGTTAACTTTGTGTCCCTGGATTACTGGATTGAGAAGAGGGTCAGAGATGTCCGATTCCATGACGACTGTTGCTTTTCCGCCTTCATTGTGGACCTCGACAATCTTCTGTACTGAGGTCGTCAAAAATTGATGCGCTGGCTGAGATTCCGCCTGGGGAATAGGTCCCTCGCCTTTGGTCAAACAGAAGTCATTCTTGTAGGGAATCCAGTAGTTCTTGTTGTCCCAGCTGTATGCAGGGAGGTGAAGGACTTGATGACAGGATTTAAAATCCTGATGGTATTCCCGCCATTGAACTTCAATGCCTGCAAGATATACAGAGGCCAAGCTCTGAGACAGGACCTTCCATGAATCTTCATTGCGACGAAGGGAAGCAATCGTATTGGCCTGAGGACCAATCGTGGCCTTGATCATGCCAGAGCAGACCGTATGAGAGCCAATTTCAATCCAGACCGTTCTTTCACCCATAAGCTTAGCATGTCGTGTTGCTTCCAGTGCCCCAAGGAAGTTGACAGTCTCCCTGCAGTGGCGGCTGAGATAACTAGGACTCAGAACGTCGTAATTCGCTTCAGTAATGACTTCCCCAAGGAGAGCCGAAACAAACGGAATTGAAGGTTTATGAAATTTGACACCTTTCGCACATTCTAACAGTTGTTCCAGAATCGGTTCAACCTGAGCAGAATGGAACGCGAAAGGTACTCTCAATTTTGTTGCCTTTATTCCCTCAGCAGCGAGTTTCTCGGACAACAAATCGATGTTGTCACATGTACCACTGATGACAGTTTCCCCGGGAGCATTTATGCAAGCGATCTCATGGACTTTGCCATTAAGGAATGGCGTAACTTGACCGAGGGATGCCTTGAGTGCAAGCATAGCATGCGTTCCAACCTTGCAATGTTCTTCCAGGAGCTGGGCCCTACGCCCGCACAAATATATGGTATCGAAGGCCGTAAGTGCCCCGGAGATATTGAGAGCGGCATATTCTCCCAAGCTGTGGCCTAACACGAAAGTTGGACGAGCTCCCCATGACATCCACAATCTTGCCAGGGCCATTTGCAAGCAAGTTGTACCAAGCTGAGTGACTAGAGGGCTCAGATCCTCGATAGGAACACTGCCATCGATTAATGGCAAAAATGATGGGAAGCCCAGGCTTTGACCTATGCCATCAAATCGCTGGATGTTGGCACGGAATTGAGGGAAATGCTCATAAAGCTGCTTGCCCATTGCTGCGTATTGAGCTCCCTGGCCTGTGAAGATGAAACCGACGTTTGGTGTAGACGCAGGAACAGGACTGATGCTTTCTTTCCTGACAGACGCTTCTAGAGCATCTCGAACTTCCACAAGACTGCTGCCAGAGACCATGACCCGGAATGGATGGTGTATGCGCCGTGCAGTTGTGGTATAGGAGAGCTTCGCCAGAAATTCCTTATCGGCACAATTTCCAATGTTTTTGTTGATGTAGTCCACAAGAGACTTGATATTGTTTCTAAGTGAGATTTCGCACCTCGCAGAAACAGCAACAACATGTGTCGAGCGAGGATCCTGGACAGCGTGTTCCGCACAGGGAAGGGGTCCATCTTCCATCAGGAGAGCAGTATTGCCACCGGCAGCAGAGAAGTTGTTTATGAAGACCTTCCGCTTTCCTGCGTCTGGTCTCGTCCAGGGAGTCGGCTTGAAGGCGATGTGTACATTGCGCTCCTTCAAGTCGGTTGGGAAATTGTGGTTGATCTTCGTTTTTATGCCACAGTGAGGGGGAATTGTATTCTCTCTCATCATCAAAAGCACTTTAATCAATGACGCAACTCCTGAAGCTGACTCTGCATGGCCAATGTTCGCCTTTGCTGATCCCAGATGCAAAGACTGTTCCGGTTTGCGTCTATGATCAGGCGCAAAGATATCAAGTACCGATTTCATTTCCACCGCATCACCAGCTTGGGTACCGGTCCCGTGCATCTCGATGTAACTTATTTCGTGTGGATGCACGCCAGCCTCGTTGAGGAGCTTATCGAAGATAAAAGCCTGAGCCCCGACATGAGGACGAGTCATCGAAACAGCTTCGGCAGAATGGTTGGTATAGGCTCCCACAATCACTCCGAGAATAGGATCATTGTCTGCTTGCGCATCTTCTAGGCGCTTGAGCACAACAGTGCCAACACTATCTGCTCTGCAATAGCCATCAGCACCGTCATCAAACGTGTTGCAGTTGCCCTTTCTAGAGAGAAAGTGACCGCGATCAAGACCAGCAAAATTATCTGGATTCGTCAAGATATTCGTGCCACCGGCAATCGCAGTATCACAGTCGTTTCTCCATAGAGAATTGCATGCCATATGAATGGCCGCTAAACTGGAGGAGCAAGCCGTATCGACGCTGACACTGGGACCGCTGAACTTGAAGTAATAATTTATGCGTCCCGGTGTAAATGCGCGGTTGCCTCCTGGAATAAAGTAGGTATCGATATCTTGGCCACTGTTGACCTCACGGTAGTCATCACTGGTCATTCCATAGAAAATGCCAACGCGGTCTTTCTGGGTCGATGGTGTCGAATCAGGAACGAAACCCGCCATTTCAAGAGCTTCGTAGGCTGTAACCAAGGCCAAGCGCTGCGCAGGGTCTGCCTGGAGTGCCTCGCGGGGTGACATGTTAAAGAAGCGCGGATCAAAAAGCCCCGGCTCTTCAATCCAGCACCCATAAGGCACCTGACTGGTGTTCCTTCTTTTCCCGGTCGGATCGAAATGGGTCTTCACATTCCATCGATCTGGCGGAACCTCTCTGTGAACATCGAGACCCTTGTACAGAACTTCCCAAAAGTGCTCGGGGCTTGGTGCATCGGGAAATCTGCCTGACAGGCCGATGATGGCGATCTTTGATTTTTCGGATCTGCCTGTCAAGTTCACTCTGTCATTGTCCTTCAATGTCTCCATAGTGGAATTTTCCAGAACAACGTTCGGAATGCCCACGCGTTTCAATGTCGACATCAAACCTTGGGAGGCTGCAGTTGCGACCGGGAAGATCGTACAACTTGAAGTTTGAGCGGACATAAGGACTGATGAACAGCCATCCAAGACTTTGTCCCAGCAAAGCTGGTGTAAAAGGATTTCCTCCAGAGCGGTCTCAAGGAGGTCTTCAAAGCTCTTAGCGACCATTACCTTTCCGGTCGTACTCGATAGCAGTGGAATCCGAGGCTCGTAGTTAGCGAAAGTGCCATTGCTTCGAGACTTGAAGATCCAGTCCACGTCGACCTTTCCATAAAGATGAGGCGCGTGGTAAGGAGCGTGCACCGGGACCCTAAAAGGCTTGACGTCTCGTGGTAATTGAGACTCGATGAATTCCTCGAGAATCAGTGGCGGCGCGCTGATCGTCAGGCTGTGCGAACTGACCGCACTGATGTACGGCTGTGATGAAGGGGAGAGAGCCTGCGGACGTTAGATACGCGGCCTTTTGCCGGAGTAGAGAGGCTAGACTCACCTTCCGCTTGGAGAATTCTCGAATGGCCACCAAGGCTTGGTCTTCGTGAAGTCCCGAGATGACTGCTGACCAGCTCTGAGACTGGGCCTCATATTGACCCACAAGATCGCGGACTTTGAGGGCACACAGTCCCAGTCGTAAAGCGGTCACTACCACCTCAATGGCAACTGGAATGAGCTCGCCAACTGTCCGCGACGAACTGACAGCGGCAGCAGCCAGAAGTCCGGTGCACAGTCCGATGACATGGCTGTCAGAGCCTAACGGGTAGACTTGACCCTCATCGCCGTAGTAGCTGGAAATTATTAGCCGCGGTTCAATTCTTGGAAATAACGTGGCAATACACATACTTGATAAACGAGGCCAACTGGTAGATGCAAGTGAGGGCGCTTTCGAGTGCTGGATTCGGCCCCGACTCGCGATATCTCGCGAGCAAGTCAACAATGCTGGTAAAGCGAGGAAAGAATTGGCGATCAGACGGTGGCAGCTGAGCTATTTCGTGGCGCAAAGCGTGGAAGCATCTCTCGAAGAAGGACGTCAAGAGGCTGTTGTTCTTCGCCTGTATCAAGCGACGGAGCCCAGTGTCAAACTCTCCGGTTTGATCGCCGAAGAGATAGACGTGGCTAGTCGACCCCATGGAGATTCCTACGCTGGCGGATCTATTGGAGTTGGCTTTCAGGATAGTTGAGCTCAACCCAAGTGCTTTTAGGCGGGACGCACGTGGGTTCCAATCGCCATGGGCTGAACCGTCTGGGTGTCAAGTACTTCGTTGAACAAAGGGAAAGGGGGCGAAAGTAAAACTTCAATGGCGGCATGGGCGTACGCCACCATTCTTATCCAGACGTCTCCCATACGAGATCGTCTACCAAGGACGTTAGCATCGTTCCCATGCATCGTCCCCATCTTGCAGGACCCGTTTTGACGCGATGTGGGTTGCAAGCGGCGGTTCCCAATAGCCAGAATGGGCCAATTCTAGAACCGTACGAGGTCCAAATTGAGCCATCGCGGCCAAGACATCTGTCTGGATCGAGTGCTGGAGATCAATCTCTTTGGGCGAGCAATGTCTCAGATGTGTATGAAGTGGGGAGGTTCAATGGTACCGTTACGATTGAGAACGGCAAACTTCCCCACTAGAAAAGCCGGTTGCAAAGGTAGATCTGCCGGACCTCATGAGGCTGTGGAGAGGAGACCAGAAGGCACATCTCTTTGTTTCCAGGCATATGACCTGTCCACCATTATCCTGATCAGGATATGAGAAAGTTGCTGCTAGATCATGACCAAAAACATCACCACTCCGTCATTCCAAGACGCTTCGGGCCATCTTCTCGATATCGGCAAATTCCATTACTGCAGACTGAGCAATTCATTCTGGTTTGGGGGGGAGAGAGAGTTGGAGTTTGGAAATGGGAAGTCATCGTGATTGCCGCATGCGGAAAAGGATGCGCCTTCCCGCCGCGGATCGTCTTCCGCCAGTCACGTGTGGAAGGATACCCTACCCGGAAGGAACTCCCTACAGGACCAGGATGCCGAGTTCTATCGAAGCATCTAGGCGTGCAGATCGTTACCACAGGAATGTATCCTACTGCTTGTTCCGTGATGCTGCATATGATAGCATCAGGTATTGATCGTCGCCCAGGATCTGCATAGATATGGAATGGTGGCTCAACTGCATATGCTAAGGAATGTGGCAAAGCATACATATAAGTGCCCCTCAACGCATTTGGACAATTTACATCATAAATCTTCAGCGCGGATTTGTAAGTATGCTTGCACCCATGGTGTTGAATCCGTAGGAGAATAATCAAAAGACGTTTGCAGTAAATATTCCGCTCTCTCTTTTTGCAAACGTGAACATGTGAAATAATGAATTGTCAATGATTCAGCTTGGGCGCCATGCAAAGAGTTGTGGATCTAAGAGAACAAAGGGAATTCTTACCCATTGGAAGGCTATGGAGAAGAATGTGATTTTATTGGAAGTTTTGCTGGGACTCGACCTTGTTCGACCACACGCGGGACACTTTTCCTAGTCACTAGATATCAACAGCTGGGAGAAAAGCGAAACACGTAATGCTGTATCACAAGACAATGGGCAACACAATCATGGAATTGCAGCTGAGTCTTTTGCCCTAGTATGACATGAGATTGCCCATGACTCACTGACCTTCGAAGCGGTCATCCACCTGATGAACGAGCTTTCTGCCTCACATTGCCCATCGATACTGCAACCCTACATTCTCTTCCATTGAACCGTGCCAATTCCTCACTTGACTGAAGGAAGCATCATGATAAATAGAAAGCAGAGCAGAGCCACAAGCTGATCGTGGGCCATCTCGTTTCCTGTCATCGGATGGTGCATCTGTTCAGCCAGATACAAAGCAGGAGTCTCCTTGGAGATCTTAAGAGGGACACTGATATTAGCAGAAACAATGGTGAAAATAATATATTTTCCAGAGTTAAATTGAAAGAAAAAACAAAACTAGGACAAAAATAATATTAGATATTAAAAACAAATAAGATAAAACGCCCCATGAAGACCGTAAACACTGTACAAGAAAAAAAAGTGATGAAATGAAAAAGGTTCGTTCCCCTCGTAGGAAAAAAGGAGTCAAAGACGGGGGAATAGAATATAAAATAAATGCAACAGAAGAGAAAAGAAGGAGACAAACAACGAAGAGCACAAATAGCCACCTAGCGCTCTATACGCGTGCGTCAAAATAGGAAGTGCCTTCCATCCCGGAAGCAAGATGAGAAGGATACGTCAATGCCTGCCATCACCATGTCCATGGTTCCCATTGTGGATGTCGTATTCCGGTGGGACTTCGGGCCAAGCATCCACTCCGTCGAGTAATGCAACCCCCATACCAGCTGTCAAGTGGGTCTCAATGTGACAGTGGAGCAAGAACGGCCCGGGATTGACGACCTGGTACCGTAATACCATCCACGTCGACCCGAAGGCGCCATTCGTCACGAATGTGTCTCGGTAGATAGGGTCTTCCAGGTTGAAGTATTCCGGATGCGATGCCATGGCTTCGTCGACACTGGACCAGTTGAAGAATCCGGGACCCGCACCGATCCAGAAGGCCTTGTTCGAGTGCTTATGGATCACGTGAGGTGCTTGAATCTTCGGAGTCTTTGGGAACTGACCCAACTGCAGCAGCAGATCGACCCAGGTGCCGTTCTTGGTGGGGAGGGTGAGTTTGTCGCCCAAATTCTTCCTTGCGTCTAGGTCGAACAAGATGGGGGTATCCGCGTTCGCCTCGACATCGTAGAGCTGTTCGCCCTGCATGGTCCACTGCCAAGATGATTGGATACGCCCCATGGTGAGGTTGAAAATCTGATCTGCGCTGCGAGCTGGTTTGAGATTCGGGTAAGGAGGGAGGTTCGTGGTATTCAACTGTACCACGTCAGCAGAGACGTTCTGACCGCCGTAGTTGATGTAAGGTGTCGACGGTCCCAAATCCTTTCCACCCTTGTACGACAATGTGGCATATCCCGAAATGATCTGATCACCGTTCGTGTCTGCAACTCTAATGGTGTAGTTCTTTGGTATCTTGTCAAGCTTGATCATCGCACCGTATCGTTCACCGTTGAACAAGGGGAAGTCGTGCACGAGCCGGGGCTCGATATAGTGTCCATCAACCTCGTAGATCCACATAGGATGCTCGTCGATGGAGACAACAAGAGACTTCATGAACGTGGCACCGATGAACTTGAAACTTGCCCAGCCCTCGCGTGGATCCACCTCAATGACTTCCATGTTACCTTCAGTTGGGACACAACCTTCATTGACACCCCATGGAATCTTTGATTCATCATAGGAATAGTTGCCCTGGGTTTTGTAGATATTCGGGTAACACCTAGACTCAAGGATTAGAACAATTCCCCCGCTTTCTGTTCACCTCCGAACTCACCCCTTGTCCGTGAGAGGCAAATTGTCAATGGCACCTCTCAGATATGGCGTTTCGTAGCTGTCGATTTCCTCTGCAGATGGGCAGTGGACTGCTCCTTTTCCATTAATCAGAATGCTGTCCACACAGCTTGTTTTTTTTTTAATTTTCACGTTAGTCGGTCATAGATGCCACCCATCGAGGTCATGGTTCTTACAAAATATCAAGCCCGCTAATTAGCTGCAAATTGAAGTACTCCTCCGAGGTCAGGTGTTCCCAGTCCGATAACACGACAAGGCGGGGATCATGTTCCGCACGATGCATGGCTTCAAGATCTGCAGGGTCATTCGAGATCAAATGGAACGGGGTTGGAGTATGTGGTTTTGGCCTAACAAATTAGTCGCAGGCCAAACACGAAGGGAAGTATGGGGACACACCTGACCCAAATGGGGCCGTACAGTCCGTCGGCCATTGTGTTGCTGTAATGGGAGTGGTACCTGAACAACCTCTATCAGTAAAACCAGTCTTCTAGACAAGACAGCCGAGATAACGCTGCTCACCAGTAAGTCCCGTAAGTTGTCGCAGTCCATCGGTAAAGAAAGCTTTCCCCTGGCGGAATTGGTTTCTGTGAAAGTCCTGGAACGCCATCGGACCAGGGCGTGTTCATCTGCCTTCTCTGTTGTTAGTGCTGTCATTCCTAGAAATTAGCAGAGACAGGCTGTCCACGTACTCAATTCCGTGGAAATGAATCGACGTGTTGAAAGGCAGGTGATTATGGACGAGGAACTTGAACGACATTAGCTCCTGGCACTGCCTACTTCGAAAAAAACAAACAAAAAACAAACCTCGACATCATCACCTTCGTCCACCACCAACTCCGGCCCCGGAAATTGGCCATTCATGAAAATCATCTTTCTTGGGTTTCCATCTGGCGCCCCTTCCTCCCACGTCAAGTGAAGCTCGAACGGAACCGTCGCGGCGTACGCTGAGGTCGCCAACGCGGCCAGGCACAAAGTGAGAAAAGACCCTTTTGGCGCCATAGTCTGTCAAGGAATGCAGATATCCCGGGCCTTCGGGTTGACGACAGATTACCACGGCCGTGATCCCTCGGCACCGTAGCCACAAGATTTCGAAGTCCGTGGATCATAGAAATTTGAACTAGAGGACTCAACGGGGGCCTTTAAGTATAAGCAGAAGGAATTTTCCACGTCAACAAGACTCCGATCAAAAGGACCACTAATTCGTGGGCCAAAACAATCTGCAGTCAAGCCTTGTGAGTGCGCATGCGAAGCGGCACGTAAACATATTTCCGGATGTGGGGATTGGATGAATTTGATATCGATCTCCTGTTCACGAACATACTAAACCCATTGAAGTAATTCTCAGTCCTTATTATCACATTCTTGTGCGCAGCTACATCCCAATACGGAAAGGCGTTTTGATCTGAAGGCGGTCCTCCTAGCATTGTGGGCGATGAAGTCAGAGTGGAAGAACTCCAAAACTCGAAACAAGTTCGACTAAGTGGACATAGAGTTAGCGCAAGGGAGATCAACAACAAAGGGTCTCGACCAATCGTTGAACCGTCCTGTGAGTTTGGTATGCGTGAGCAGGACCTGAGCAATCTTGGTAAAAAGTAATATCACAACTTGTTGGTCGATCAGCCTCTTCATGGATCTGTGGAATGTGTGAGATATTTCCGGATTGGGAGCTGAGGAAGCTGCATGCGGAGGGAAACTATGCCAAGACGGTCTGTCATAGGCAGTAGAGCCTCCGCAACGGTTTCATGAACGCTATATGGTTGCATTGAGGAAAGGCCTGTTCCGTTCATTCGACCTCTGGCATCCATGGTTTGGGATAAAAAAAAATTGGATCGTCAGTCGAGTTCAAGGAGGGAAGAGTGGGTGAAAAGCACAGCCTTTTTGTGCAGGTAGAACATCTTCTGCCTCAGCATTGCGGGAGAATGTAGTTGATTTGTTGGGAGACGATGGATGCAGCAGACTCGAAGTGTTGCTGAATGCTGCAGCATACTGATCGACTTGCAAAGCATTCTGATTATCCACTGCACGCAATGCCTTGCTGTAACAAGGACCCTGTGGCAAGACTGGAATTTGAAGGGGAAAAGAGCCACATTGCAGTCGCAAACAAGGGAGGGCGGGCATTCCAGGGAGGGCGGAAGCGGCGAGGCTGGCATGTGCCGTGGTCGGGGCGGATGCCAAGAGATCAGCCAGAGTGGTCGCCAAGTAAATGATTCCTCAAGGCCAGAAAGGCTGAGCAAACACCCCGATAAACAGGACAGTCAATTTAAATGGCCATGTGCAGTGGCTATGAACTGCTTCTATCGGGGACGTGGCCACGAACGAGGTAGATCAGCCGTTTGCTCCCACCCTAGCGGCCATTTTCCTCATAATGGCTGCCAACAGATCTGAATTCGTAGACACTCCCCACGGCTTTTCTTCTCATTGTCACGTTTCTTGAGTTCTGGCCTAGACATGGTGATTAGCTCGAGCAAGGTGATCTGTAACGAAGCTGTATCGCGGGGATGGATGCACAGATCCATATTCTCGCGGCCAATGGAGAATGAGCTCTGGTTGAGAAGAACCATGGTGCTGAGATCGGGAGAAGAGAGGGATCGGTTAAGCTTATCGATAGCCCAGCGCGATCCACACCGCGCTAGTCCCGAACGGGGCCAGCGTAAACACGGCGCGCTGGCCCAAACAGGGCGGCCACATTCACACCGACTCAGCTGAGGCCCGACTAGCCTGTTGTCCCCTCCACTCCATCCCATCCCTTCGACGGCCGTGTTGTGCTGACCTGGACGTGTGGCCTTGGTGCCCAAACGGCCGTCTGCGGCGCTTTTCCTTTCTGGTTTCTTGTTCAGACTCTTCCACTCCCTTGTTTCTGTCATTTGCTGACGGCCCTCCCGCGAGTCTCTCCCTGCGCTGTGTCTAGTGCCCGTCGCATTCAATCCGACGCCTAACCACATTGCAACGCCAATACGGGGAAGTACACGCTCTGATCACGACTCGATCACCACGCTCGTTTTTTCCTTTATTTCCTTTTGTTGCCTAATTGTTATTTCTCGACCCCTACGACTGTGTCTCCCCAAACAATATAGAACGGACGGACCATTATGGCGCCCGACCCGCCGCCGCTGCCCACCAAGTTCCCATGCTGGTGCCGTGCAATCTACTCTTGGGGCGGCGAGACGAAACGGGACCTTGGATTTGTCGAAGGAGACCTGATCGAGTGCTTGAATGCCGGCGACGGATCGTGGTGGATGGGCCGTCTACGACGTGACAGGCGCATGATGGGCCTCTTTCCCTCCAACTTCGTCACCGTCCTAGGCGATGATTTTGTTCCTGGAAACAACCGATCTGTGACCCCAATGGGAGGAGGAGACGCCCTGTCCCGGACGGACAGCTCAACCCCCAAGAAGCAGAAAACGGTGTACAGAAAGCCCTTTCAGGCGCACAAAGAAGCCATTACGCCCGCTGAAGCAGCTCGAAGGGCGAACTCGTCATCAGAGGCGCTGTCACCTTCGCCATCTCGAGAAAACACCCCACCGCGACAGTCTCAGGCCCTGCGGACCCGGACACCGACAACGGCCGTCCGTCATCGCCGCTCTCTGGCCAGGCCTCCATCCCGCCCAGGTTCTCCGCCCGCGTCGCACGAGCCTGAAGTGTCCCCCGCGAGGCACCGTCGCAGCTCAATTTCACGCCCCCAATCTCATGAACTGCCTCCGCACCCTCCTCAGGACCGCGATGAGTCACCTCCGCCGCCGCCGCCGCCGCCTCATAGAGTGGCAGTCAACAGCCAGACCCCGCGGAAGAGGCTGCCTCCCCCGCCACTTGAGATGAACGATCGTTACGCCGTCATCTCGCGAACTCCCTCGCCAGTGTCGCCCTCTCAATCGCCAGGTCCGCCGTCGCCGGCTGTCACCCCTCACACGCCATCGCCTCTTCGAGATGCTATGGAAGATGTCATGTCCTCATTACAAGACATGGGCCTCTCGCACGGGCCGCCGTCTCCTTCGCCGCCGCCTTCATTTTCGAATCCTTGGTCCCCTGATGCGTATGACAGCATTCGTGCCGCAAGTCCGCGACCGCCTAGTTCTCGACCTCTAACATCTCTGGGTTTCGGAGGGGATGGGGGCGGATATGAGGGGGAGGAAGACGACAATCATCCCAATTTCCCAGACCGATACCATGACGGCCCGCCTCAATTCAATAATTATGTCCAACGAATGGAAAGGCGGTTACGACAGCTTCACGAACAGAATGGCGAGGACCCCGATCAATTGCCCGATGACGATGTTGGCCCTCCGCCGCCGCCTAGGAGGACTGAGTATCGTGCAAGGCACAACTCGTGTCCCAGACCCACGTCCGCCGCTCAGGAGTCGAAAATCAGCCGCCGATCTGGGGAGACATGTCTTGGGCCGGACGTTCACCAATAAATCAAGCGCGACGAATTCCTCCAGCGGCGTCCAAAGTACCACTACGACTGAGACAAGCAGCACCGGCAAAACCTTGATGAGTGGCACCTCGGCTGGTGGCATCAGTGCGACGAGCGCTGGAAGCTTTGCAAGGCGTGCGAAATGGGGTAGCTTCTCGGCGGAAAGACCAAACACTGCAATGAGCGTTTTCAACGACCCGGACAAGAGACCTCAAACGCCCTTGAGCGGGATTTCTTACCATTCCAGCCACAACACATCAAGACAGGGAGCCATGTCGGCGATTCCATGGTCATCTGAGAAGGAGGCTACTGAATCTCCCGGCGTTTTCGGTGGCCTTGCCACCCCAAAAGTGAAAAAGAACGGATTCTTCAAGAGGTTCCTGGAATCCGCCAAAACAGGGGCTGCCAATGCGAGAAGCAGCATCGCTGTAGGGCAAAGTGGGGGTTCAACTTCACCCACAAAGGGAAGACTCTCCTTGGCGGTGTCGTCGCGCAAGCATGACAAAGACAGTGCTCGAGACACGGGACCTGGCGGCGGGGGAAGTGTCGATTGGGTGCAGGTGCGACGTGATGTTAACCGTGCAAGTACTCCTAGTCGGAATGAACGGATTGAACGAGCAGAACGATGTCAGATGATGGATCACCCGGTCATCTATGCGGTCGAAGAGCTTTACGAAACCGCAGAAGGTGACGAGGGCATCGATGGGCTTCCATTGAGTGAACCGACCAATTTTGCTGCCGTCAATCTGAGTATGGTGGACAAGAATGCTCGCTTTATAAACAGCCTACCCCCGTTGACCAATCCGGCGAGTTTGGCGCAAGGCTACGTTTGTCGGCCTTACAAGAGCGATGTCCAACGACTTCGTGCCATATTCACCTGGGTCAGTGAGAAGATTGCGTGGGATGAACCGATGGATGAAGATGACGTGGACATGAAGAGGGTGATCAGTATGAGGAGGGGCAGTCCCCGTGAGGTGGCGATCCTGGTCAAAGAGATGTGCGCCGCCGTCGGGCTTCATGCCGACGTGATCAGAGGGTACCTCAAGACACCGGGAGAGGTATTCGATCTGGACAGCCTGTCACGACCGAATCATTGGTGGAATGCGGTTTTGGTAGACGGCGAATGGCGCATCATGGACTGTTCGCTGGCCAGCTCGACGAATCCCCGAAGAAGCTTACTTGTCACCACGAACTCGCAACATGCAGAGACCTGGTACTTCCTCGCTCGGCCGATGGAGATCTGCTACACTCATATACCACTTCACCCTGAAGAACAACACATCTGTCCGCCGATCTCGCCCGAGGTTCTCTTGGCGCTTCCCCCTGCCAGCCCGGCCTTCTTTAAGAATGGTTTGCAGATTCCCGATTACGACACCAGTTTCGTCCGAATCGAAGGATTGGAAGTCATGCAACTGCGCATTTTTGTCCCGCCGGACGTGGAGTGTGCTGCTGAAGTTGAAGCTCCAGCCTTTGCTCGCGATGCCGATGGGGATTTATTCGAAAGCGGAGAAGTTGTACGGAAACGTGCCCTCGCCCAGCCGGACTGGATCCGGGGTCGGAAACGGTTCACCGTGAAGGCTGTTCTCCCAGGCGATGAAGGGCAGGGAGTGCTCAAGATCTATGCTGGCAAGAAGGGACTGATGCATTCGAGCAAAGACATCCCCCATCCTCTTGCCCTGGCCCTGCCAATCATCCACACGGGCGAAAACCCGCCGTATGATTTCCTTATTCGTCATCCCACTCCGCATGCGCAGCGTCACGACCTGTACGTGATGCAGCCTCAGTGCTGGAGACTGGCGATCAACAACACCTTCGTCTTTACAGTCCGGCAACATCCGGCATACCCACCGCCAACCAGCTTCGATGGCAGTTCCGGTGGACGAGCCTCCCCTGTGCATATCCGACCATCGAGTGCTCTCAGCATGGTGTCCAGCGGTTATGGGGACTCCAATGCGTCTACCACGTCTGTCAATGACGGGTTCTCAGCATCCACGTCGGCCGTGTCGTCAGGCAAGTCGAGCGGTCGTGAAAAGCCAGCAAAACTAGCCATCCAGTCTCCGTCAGGGAAGATCCTGCGGCTGATGCGCAAGGCCGACCACATGATCAGCACCAGCAGCAACACCGATTCCGGGATAGACGGGACCCCGGACGGCAGCGTCTGGGAGACGGTGATCAAGATCGGCGAGCGAGGTGTCTGGCGAGGCCTCGTCCTGGCCGATCGGGTTGCCCGATGGTGCGTTTTCTGCGAGTGGGAATGTTTCTAAATAAATAGAAATCAGAAACGATGCGTACATGGACGTAGTCATGTAGTCATGCCCGGCGCTCTATATCTGTTTTTTCTTCTCATTTTGTTGCATCATGAACTGCATGCATTTACCTCTTTTTTTCTTCGGTGGTCGTGGGCTGGGACTCTGCTGCTTTTTGGCGTCTGTCTATTTCTTTTCATGCATCCATGTCTTGGGCGTCTCGACAAGCTGATGATTTTTCGACCTTGGACTATTTAAAGATTTCGGTGATTGGTTTGGTCATGCTGATCTAGCGTGCTTGTTTTTCCCTCTTCCCATTGACAAATGGATGAAATGGCGCTGCTGTCCTGTCAGGTTACCATTCGCATTTACCTATTTTCCTTTCTTCTTCGTGTTTCCCTTATTCTTTTTTTTTCTTTTTTCAATAATCAATAACGCAACGACATCAACATGTCTGGAGTTCATTGTGTTCAGTTCAGTTCAGTCCAGTCAATCCAGTCATACTTTTTTTTTTCCTATCGTGTTTATGAATTGGAGAAAGGAAATTTTTGTCATGTCACGCAATGACTGGACGAGACGAAATTCGAGATAGATGTCTCCATCTATGCATGCATCTTGCTCGCTTGCCTGCGATGTTCTCTTAAAAGAAATTCGATCTGTGTCTCGGGTCATTAATTAGACAGACAGACCAGCCAGACCTTAGGGAAAAATAGGAATTTATATTATTGTGAATATTGTAATTTGGTATGTTAAGGTATGCAGAAGATGGGGGAAACAAAAAGAGAAGAAGAAAAGAAAAAGGGCTTTTCATACAAGATTATCAGTCATGATACTCCTCTCTCTGGTCCAAAACTAGAGTTTTCTTTCGAATCGAATCAATATCAATCGACCAATTGACCAGTTGACTAGTGATTACGACTAGTCGGCAAAAACACCCCTCAGAAGAGGCGCCACTTGTTTTCTGCTTTTGGCGACGTTCGTCTGGTGCCAGATATGTAATGAAGGCGTGTCGGAGTTGAGAGCAGCAGCAACAGTAGAAGCACTACCTGAAGGATCCTCTTTCCAGTCTTCCAGTCCCAGTTCTGAGGCAAAATCCTTGGAGAAGCGCTTGGTGAGCTCCGCGCAGGCCTCGTCGAGCGCCCAGACGAGAAGTTCCCGATGGAAGGATCCGTCCGTGGACGAGGTGAAAGCCGTCATGACCGCGACGACGTCTAGATCTCTAGATTGCGAAAATATGCGGAGTTTGTCCAGGAATGACTTGGCACCAGAGGAATTTCTTCCAGTTTTGGGCGTGTCATCTTCCTCTTGAGCCTTCTCGACAATCCACGAGATGGGCTTCACCACGCTGCAGATGCCGATCTTCGTCGTGCTCTTCCCAGGCGTCCGTTTCGAGGACTTCTCCACCCAGTCCTTGTAATCTCTCCCCAGCATCTCGTCGACAGTCAGCAAGTCGAGACTGTTTTGCTTCGCATACTGGATCTCCTCGAAGAAGGCGGTGCGATCCCACTGCGGGTCGTCGCCAGCCCGCACCTTGGCTTCCAGAAAAGCAACCGCGGCACGGTCTACATCTGTGACTTTTCCTTCGGCCGTGAGGTTGGTAGTGTCGATCAGAATGGCGGCCAGGGCGAGTTTGGCGGCTTTGGCTTCCTCAATCAAAGACGAGGGAGATGAGTCATGACTCTGGTCAAGCCATAGACCCCGATTCCGCAATTCACGGACAACAAGAGACGTGCAAGAGCCCGGGCCCATCTGGATGATACGTGGCTGGCCTTCAGGAAGTGCTTCGTCAAGGTGGACGAAAGATTCGTCGACATGATGATCGATGCAGCCAATGACAGCAAGGTCCGCGATATCCTGGAGTCCCTCGATAGACCCTTTGCTGGGGGTTTCGGTCGATCTGAATGGCAATGCGTTCCAGTCGACCAAGGTGCTGTCTAAGAGACCCTTGCTGCCTTGATCCTTGGGGAAGTGCTGGAGCAGCTGGCCCCTGAGATCTGCTGCGGTCAGGACATGCTCTGCCAGGAGTTGAGCGACGGCATCATTTTTTCCATCTGGAGCTGCTGCTCCTTGGGTTGACCCATTTGTCGACAGCCAGAGCGCGGTTGCAAACTCTGGTCTCAGTCTTCGCAGTTCCTTACCGGCTGGCACATCCGGCAGGTTGACGACCGGCACGTGGGGTCTCGCGACCGGGGCAGGTTGCTGCTGTTGTTCCTGTCGCGATGCAGTGCGGTCAGCAGCGCTGGAGGAGAAATAGGAGTATATAATCGCGGAGATGATCGAATCTAAGTCTGCAGACGGATTGCCCAGAACATAGACAGGCCGCAGCGGCTGCTGTGCGGGGAGATGGCGCGCATGTTTGAGAAAAGGAAGGAGGCCCAGACGGAGAGGAAAGTGGTCCGGAGGCATTCCTTCGATAAATATTTTTTCATGCGAAATTATATCGCTTTCTCCGGTTTAGTGTATCCTCCCTCCCGTGTATTGTATACCTGTTCTATCCGTGGATGCATTCTAATTCATGTGATAAGCGAAATTGGTCTAATGTATATTTTTCACATTGGTGTGATGTCACCAACGGCAACCACAAACTCACCGCCCGATATTATATATTCAGTCCAGCGTATTCATTATCAGCCAATACAGCAGAATGCGAGAGTAAAATTACAGGGAGCTTTTTTTTTAAAAAAAAAATAACCAAAGTCAAACCCTATCAATCAAGTACGTAATTTCTTGGAGATGAGGTGAATGTACTCGGTGCATATGCAGACAACTCCGATTTCAACGCTGATCTAAACCTCGTATAATAAAAATACAGCCCATTTTCCATTTCTCTTCTTTCTACCCTTTTCTGATGATAATTATACACTCAGCCACCTTCACAAGAAAGCGACAAAGAAAGCGAGGAGAGTAGGAAACGGGAAAAAAAGGCACAATTAACGATAGTAGCTTGAAAAGAAACTCAACACCCCACACCCGCTCCATACAAAGAATTTCAAGAAAGCTAGGGTAGACGCAAGACAACAATCATCACATGAAACAAATCAGAAACAGTAATCCACTCTGGAAACAGACGGAAAAGTCAAGGTGATAAGCCGGTAGTAAGGAAGGAGACCCCGAAAGAAAATAACGCCATTCAGCTTCCTCCCATCGAGCGCCACGAACACCAGATTGAAAAAAATCCCCAGGACAGTGACGTCCCACCAAGCAAACAAGCAGATAGAGTCCGTGGCCACAGAACCATCCCCACCGTGCTAAATGAGAAGAAAACGCCGCACAAAGATACAGACATTATACCGTTATTCTATCACAATCCGAATCGAATCTAGGGGGAAAAAAAGAAGAAATACTTGTAAATCAGAAGTCATCTGCAGGACCTTCGCCGTTGCCTTCAGCTTCGCCGTCTCTGGCAGTTTCGGCGGTCTCACCTTCATGGTCGGAATCAGGACGATCGCCACCGTTGCCAGCATCCAGAGCCTCCAATGCTTCATTGGTATGGGTGTTCTCCATGGGTTCAACGGCATCAGCGTCCTGGTTGGTGAGATCCGCAAATACATCATCCAGATTCTGACGAGGACTGCTTGAAAAAGGATTGTTGGTATCTATATCGACACCAGATGGCCCCTCGTTCTGGTCGCGATTGAAGCTCGGGGGCGGGCTGAAAAGAGGCTGATCCAAGCCTTGATGTGGTGGAGAGCGTGGAGGAAAGGACGGAGACTGCCCCGCAGCATGAGGAAGGAAGGCAGAGGAAGAGGATGAAGATAGCGCAAATGGTGGGCTCGGATCGCGCGCCAGGGAATAGTTTGCCGAGAACGGGTATGGCTGGGATGATGATGATGTACTGGGCAAGGTTGATTCATTGCTTGCTGAGACTGGTGGCCGGTTCTCTTCCGACGACCCAGCGGAGGGCTGTTGAGGTGCTGGCTGAAGAGGCTGTGGTCTGGTCGTTTGGGAGGACTCAAGAGACTTGCGCTTGGCAGCGTTGCTCGTCTTCGGACGGAGATGAGGGGGAAGGTCCTCCGGACGTTCTACGCCCAACTGAGCCATAATCTTCTGTTGCTTCGTTGGACGAGGCTTGCGAGTAGAGAGTGACTGCTCCAGAATCGGCGGGGGCTCTGGTGCCACTGGTGCCCACTTATGAATCTCTTGACGGAAGAAATTAGTCTCGTACGCAAGGAGAACCTCCGCACCCTCGATTTTACGGAGATAGAAAAGCAACGTAGGGATCTCCTCGGTCGTCGTGCAAGCGGCGTTTGTGAAGCTTTGGAGGAAATCCCGGAAAGCGGATGCTTGCTTGATAATGTTGTCCAGGACTTCCTCCTCGTCGGGCTGGAAGGGGAGGTTCGGAATCTCTGCCTGCCATTCCTGAAGATCCTCAAGCTTGGGCCGTGCGGCGTCGCGAGGGATCTTTCTCCGCCAGTCACAGACCGGGCAGGTGTATTTGTCAAATTCCTTGACCTTTCCCCTAGCAATTTTCAGGCATTTGCCATGATACCTGCAGGGCGGGCGTTAGTGATCCTTTTTTTTTTTTAACCCGACCAATGATCTCAGGGGAGATAACTCACCACTCGTGGCAGATCTCGCATTCAATCATCATCCCAGCTTCGGACTGCCTGCAGATGCAAAAAACATCTCTCTTCCGAGACTTACCGCCTTCCCACATGCCTTGATTCTCCAGGAGACCCTCAGGCGTGTTGTCCCGCGACGCGGGTTCGACCGGTGGTCGACAGCGATCTTCCAAGTCGAAGCAGGCGGCATTCTTCTTCTCGACATACTCCATGTGAGACTTGAGAATATGTAGCGGTGCATTTGCCTTGCCAAAGAGCTTCTTGCCTTTCCTCATCCAATCCTCGTGGCGCTTCTGTTCGCGCTCCAGATCAATGGCGCCAACGGGCCGACTGTTCAGCTGTTCCAGAGATTCCATAAGTTCGCGCACCTCCCTGTACTTGGGACGTTTGCGGAAATCCGGATCTTGACTCCGTTCGTAAAGACTCTGGATCTGTTTCTGAGCCTCTCGCTGCTTGGTCAGAATAGCATCGACCTGCGCCAGTGTTTCGGGGGAAACAGGGAACCGCGACGCCTGTGCGGATAGGGCTTCCAGCTGCTGATAATGAACGGCTTCCACAGACATCAATTCCTTCGCTTTGGCCTCCCAGGTCTCTCCGTGGCGACACAGATCCTTGAAATGAGCCAGATCCTCGTTTCTGTCATCCAATCCCAGTTGTTCTCCGGCCTGGATCAACTCTTTACACTCCTGCAGGGTGAGGTACTGATCACGCTTGCGACGGGCCTCCTCGTTCCATTTCATCTGTCGCAGCACATGCTCTAGTTCTTCCACCTCGGGAATGTCCACGTTGAAATTCCGGCTCGACTCAACCAGCTCCTCTACCTCTTGGATCGATCGGAGGTGAGGATTAAGTAGGGCGATATGGACCTCCTGGCGGTATTTCTCGATCTCGCGGGTTTTCTCTTCCAGGGCCGCCATCTGTGGACAGTCGAAGGACAGTTTATCAGCCTCTGCAAGTAGGGCGTGGATATTCTCCACTCTGCGGAGCTCACGGTCGCGTTCTTCAAGCTGGGCGGCCTTGGAAGTGCCTTTACGCCAGGCCTTTTCATTCTTCCTGCGGTTCTGCTGCTTGCGCGTGATGTAGTTGTTGGCTTCTTCCACCCACTTGTCGCACCGCTGAACGAAAGCCGCGAGATCTTGAAGGCCAGGTAAATGATATGGGATTTTCTCACCTTCGCTTAGCAGGCTATGGAGGACCTTCAGTTGCGGTTTTGGTTCATCCTCAAGCACCTTGTCCAACTTTTCCGCCCACGCCTCAGGGATCCTGGCACGGTCTTGGATCTTTTGCACCAAATTCTTCAATTCGTCATCAGTCATCCGGTATCGCAACGTATGGTCCGGTCCCATCAGCCGTTGAGTTTGCGGCTCACCACAGCAGTCGTAAGTCGCTGCGTGTATGAGGCAAAGGGTTCGGCCGGACTTGTGACATCGGAATTGGGTCAGGTAGGTGTAGGCTTTGCAGTAGTGGCATTGGTAGTCTTCTTCAGGCAGGTCCTCGTCTTCGACGACGAACTTCAATTTGCAGTCCCCATCGGCCGACCAGTCCTCACCGCTGAACTTACACTGATGTGCAGCTACCTCTCGGTGACAGTTAATGAAGGCTGCGCGTTGCTCCACTTCACGGTCAGTCGTTCGTGCTAACGCAGGGGCCAACCATTTGGCAGTCTTGATGGAGGTATCTCTAGCAGCCGCTGTCAGCAACAACTCATCATGCGAAAAGCACGGCTGTCTTCTGAAAGCTTGCAATCGCTCGACACCAAGAGCACCAAAGGGCTCCCAGTCTGCGGGAGCAAAGTTGACTGCCTCATTGAAGTTGAAGCCATGATTGAACCCAGCGTGGTAGGCCTGAGGAAAGGTGATGACGAACTGGCCCGCACGCTGATCGAGGGCATAGACATTGACACCGGCCTTCTTCAACTGATCTGGTGGGAGTAAGGTGACAAGTTGGAAGAGGAGGTCTGGTTGTGTCTCAAAGAGCTCTGGCACGGCCTCCCGCATCGCTTTCTCAAAGGCCTCGGCGTCGGATCCTGGGATACCATACCACGTCTTGGTGGCGCCGAAATGCTGGTAGTTGGCCGAGTATGCGTAGTGGTCTTCATTGTGCCAGCAAAACGTAGAGAAGCACATGCCCACATACACCCAAGGGACCGTCATACCGGAGATATCTGATTTAATGTGTCGGAAAAGCGAGTCCTCGTGGAAAGGAAGCACGTTTAGATTCCAAGGATGAGTCGAGTATGGATCAAGAGGATTCTTCTCCACCGTCGGAAAGCCACTGCCGTGCGTCGTGGAATGGATATCGGCACCGTACTCGACCTCAACGGTCTCCGTGAGACTTTCCACCAGCCGCCAGAATTCACGTTCAACGTCATCCTCGGTTTCACGCCGCTGAGTGTTCAAAACTGGATCGAAGGGCATCCGTGGAGCAAAATAGTTCTTCTTGAAATTGTTCGCTTTCTCTTGAAACTGCTTTAGAGAATAGATACCGCCCTCCTCGAAGCCGTATTCACCAGTGCCTACCAGACATTTGGGGCAGTGCCAGTCATTCTCGGGAACAGCATTCAAGGGGGGATCGACGCAGGTTCGGTGATATCCATTATCACAGCTGTCGCAAACGAAAATGGACTCAGGGTTATCGGTCTTGCCACATGCTTCGCATTTCTAGGCGAGGTTAGTCAGAGTAACGGGATAGGAATGGGTGAATGTCATCACATACATTGCCAGTCTTGCGAGTGCCATTCTTCATCCGTGCCCGGGACGGGGCCGGGCGGAGGAGACTCATATGGGACCCAGCCACTGTCGGAGGCGCATCTATCATGATGCAGTCAGCATATCAAACGAAACTTCCTTCGAAAAAGATGGGAAGTCACGTGGGCAGTGAATCCGGGATATGTAATACACACCTTTACGTAGTCTTTTACTCCTCCGGCCAGAGCTCTCGGCATCGCCCGTTTCTACCTGCGGACTGCCACTCAGGCTATCATGACTTATAGCACGTTTGAGGGGATGATCCCCATGACCATTGGTAACCGGGGTCGAGTTTGTCCCTGTCTGCTTTGCATCGACACTGTCCCCTCCAGGATGTGGGGCAATGGTCTTGGGGGTCGGCGTGCCATTCTCCGTCTCACGCTTCACCTGGGGACCATTGTTCACTGCCACAAACGAGGGCGACTGATTGACTGGGGTAAAACCTCCCGGTTTGGCATTGACGGCCGTGAATCCGGATGAACCAGCAGGTCGGGCGGAAGCCGACTCGGCCGAGGATGGCGTAGGCCGGTCCGGAGTACCATCTGTCTCCGTGGACGCATTCAACGTACCAGAGGCCCGCACGGCCGGCGAGTCCTGACGAGCATTGGATGGTGTGGAGGAGAGCGGGCGTTTGTTCATGGGCGAGTGGCTTGGGGATGGCGTGTAAGGGCCACCTTGTTCGAGCTCCAGCTGCTGCTGCACACCTGGCTTGGCAACCTTCAGGTACTCCTCATAAGGCTGCAGCCATCTTTGATACGAGTTCTTGAGCGAGGTGGACAAGGACGACATAATCTTGCCGCTATAACCCAGATCCCGACCAATCTCGGCCCACTTCTTCAACTTGCATACCTGGTCAAAGCCCCCGCGGACCTCAACCGCCTTCTTGAGCTTGTACAGGTCTAGTGGCCGTTTATCCACGCTTGGAAACCGATTGAGGTTGGTACCTTGCTGTTTGTGGAACTTGGCGAGCTGATCGAGGTAGTTCAGGTTCGCACGGGTTCCTGGTTCTGGGTCAGAACGGTGGTCCTGGGGAGCTCTGCCGACAGCAACATCCGCTGAACGCTGGGGCATACCTCCTTCGACCGAATTCAGCTCCTGGCGACGAGTCTTGAAGTGGAAACGCTGGAGGATCAGACCGTTAGCACGTTCCATGACAAACCTCGGAGTCTCAAGAGTGAGGAGATGGTAGGTATTCTGGGCAAAGGGATCTCGATCGGGACAGGACTAAAAGAACGAGTTGCTTTTCGATGGACATACCTCCGTGTCTATAGCAAAAGGAGGATTCCAGCTGTCAGGAGGAATAATCCTGCAGATGCCGTATTTCCGCCCCTCGGGAGCAATCTTGCGGATATACGCCATGGGATCTTTGAACTCCTCCTCAGTGGGACGGAAGGTGGGAGCCTCGGGCAAGCCATGAGGGCGGACGCGCTTGGTGGGTTCCCGAGCAGCATTGGGTTGTCCACGCCGCTCGACGGTGGACAGGTCGAGAGGCGCGGACCGACGGGCACTCAACGGGACATTGTGACCGTAGGACGGATAAGACGAATTTGGGCGTTGACGAGTCGACGCGGACTGCGCGTGTGAGGCATTTGCTCCCGTAGACGCGGAAGCAACCATGTCTTCACGACGGGGGTAGGGAAAGGCTTGGGGAGAGAGAAGGAGAAAACGATGCCGGGTCTATCAAGGGCGGACGGGTTGATAGGAAGTCGGCATCGGAATATAGCGACGAATCAACCAAAGGAGGGAACACGATCTCCAGGGCCGTGTAACCACGGGAATGGAGGAGAAGACTGGGGCTCGAGGGAGGTGAAATGCAAGATGGGAGAACGACAGTGAGAGAGAGGCTCTGGAGCCGGAAGAAGAAAAAGCTGGGAAGCGGCCGGGAGGACGAGGAGGAGCAGCCAGCAATGGGCAGAGGTGTAAGCCTGGAGGGCTGGTGGATCGGGGGATCTGAGGGCGGACGCTGGCTGCCCAGAGTCATGAACTCGGCGGCCGCGCCTGTCCTGTGGGAGGCGCCCAAATTAGCCTTCCAGCGCCTGCCTGATAGGCGGCCAGGCGCCAGTCCGGCCGGTACCGAGGTGACCTGGATACCGTACGGAACAGGACGTAACGGGGCCGCGGGCGGCTGGGACGGCGCCGAGTGGCAAAAATACAGAGTACGTACGCGGCTATGACATTTATTACGCGATCCGAGTACCTGCCTCCCGATGACACGCATGTAATCGAGGAAGAGCAAGGTACCCGGGCGTGCCTACCTAAAGTAGACCACCGCGACGACGCCAGTAGGGCTACGCAAACGGAAGGAACAGGTGACACGATCGCCGCCGGCCTCTGCTGCGGATGTCGTGGTCGTCTCCTGCCGCAATTATGGGCAGCGACATGTCCCTAGTCCCAAGCCTGGTTCGTGCATTAATTGACCTGTGGCTTTGATCCTGCGGTTACAATTGGCCCTGCAGACTGCCCAGCTTTAGTAATGCCATCATTATCGGGGAAAGGCATGCCACGGAACCCCAACCTCAGGCCGTGTGTGATACCGGGCATCAGCCCTGGTTCGGTTCCACGCGACGAGGTCGTTTACATCAACCATGAATCCAGACCTTCCTGGCAAGGTTTCTAACCGTGGCGTGTGTCTGTGTGGGATATACCCGGGCGAGCCACGAATCAACACTCAACTATTGCCTAAATATCTCTCCATCTAGCGGTTTGAAACCTCGAAACTAATACCTTCTTTCCAACAGATCGCAGTCCTAGCCATTCTGAAAGAGGCTCGAATATGCTTGTGCTTTTTTTGTCGGAGACGGGCTCTTCAATTGCCAAAGACTGCATATTGTCTGCCTCTGATAGGAAACGACTATTACTGCTCTAAAAATACTGTGGATCGAATCTCATGCATCTCAGTACAACAGCATCGCATGCTGTCTGTGGATGTTACACGGCGATCATGCCTGCTCTCCCTGCCGAATTTATTTAATTACAGGTACTCTGTACCCCCAGTTAAAGATTTAGATATGTCCTGTGAGTCATGGTCACTGCTTCAGCTGAAACCATCAAAATGGGGCCATGATCTTTTTATATCTGCTGCAGCTTTCCAAATCCATGCAGCCATTATGAGAAGGTGTCTGAGGAGAAGTTTTGTTTCATGACCCGTTGGTCAGATGCGGTTCCTTGAAATTGATTTTCGAGAGGCTCGGACATCGTTGCAGGTTAATTCTGCCCAAGATCTTGGCCATTGTCAGACGGAGTCACAGTACATCGGAACCTGCAGGTCTCCAAGTAAAACATTGCTTCACCAGGAACGTCAGGAAATATAGGACGTCTAAATACTAAATCTATAGAATGTATCACTACTCATTACTATAACCTAGCCAATGCGCATGTCCATGTCGAGATGTTGATCACGTGACAGCGCGGTATCTCCCTGCAGACAACGCGTCTCGTCTTCGTCATTTCGCGTATTCGATTGATGGAGGTTCCGCTGAATGGCCATTTTGTTTGACATCATTATTGAAAATTACAATTTTGGGTCTCTATAGTTACAGAATCAGGGATGATCAACTTAAGTTTTTCACCCTACCTATATGCCTAATTGCAAAGACTAGGTCGCATTGAGATCTGGCTCCCACCCAGGATTCGCTGCCAATGGCTTCGGCCCCATCCACTTTCACCCAGGACGAAATTTCGGCACCAAAACCGATCCCTGCATTTTACTGCTGCTATCTCCTGCGTTCCACGGTCAGTCATGCCTCGCTGTATGTTGGGTCGACGCCCAACCCTGCCCGACGGCTGGCGCAGCACAACGGCGTCGCCAAAGGCGGGGCAAAACGGACCGCGCGAGACAAGCTGAGACCGTGGGAGATGGTGGTACTTGTGGAAGGCTTCATGAGCCGGATTGCGGCTTTGCAGTTTGAGTGAGTATCTTGCGTACGCTTTTTGAGTTTGTCCGCGTGTTGTTTGGACCTTTGTCTGTAGCGCTCTATTCGCTGATATCGCATGGTCACATTCAACTAATGAGTCAAGGCAGATGGTCATGGCAGAACCCAGGGGATTCTCGCCATATAGAATCGGACGAAGACTCCTCGGGTCATGCGTCAAATGTCCCTATTGACCCTCCGACAGGGACAGGGAAGCGAGGTGGCCGGCGCCGCAAGGCCAGGTCATTGACCAGGCATCTCGCGGATCTCCATTTATTACTGCGCTCTCCTTACTTTTCAAGATGGCCATTGACTGTGCGGTTCCTCTCTGAGGACGTTTACCGCGTATGGAGGGGATGGTCAGAACGGGTCGATGGCCTCCTCCCTGACAATATAGAGGTCAAGCTGGATACGACACCTCAATATGCTGACGTGAACGCCCCTCTTCGGGCAAATGGTGTCGCTCACATCGATGTTACTTACAATGATATGAAAGAGCACTTGGAAAAAGCAATGTTTCTGTTGGATGACTCCGAAACCCTATTGTGTGGCGTTTGCAGGGAACAATTGGTATTGCAGGATGACTTGGTAGTGGTGTGTCCACGGACGGACTGTCGCTGCGCGGCTCACATGGTCTGTCTATCTAGACACTTTCTAAACGATGCGGGGGAGTCTAACCAATTTATACCCACTTCTGGTACCTGTCCTGCTTGCCAGTCCACTGTCACATGGTCCTCATTGATGAAGGAGCTGAGTCTGCGACTCCGCGGTGAAAAAGAGACCCAGAATATCTTCAAAACAAAGCGCATGAGAAGATTGAACCCAGGAAGCAGGAGCGCCGATCGAGACAAGAATTGTGTCGACTATCCTCATGACCAGCAAAATCTCCCCGATCGATCTGTGAGCACAGATACGACAAACAGTATCCAGGCGGATGATGATGATGATGATGGAGTGAGTCCTGAAGACGATTTATACAACGAATACGACCAGGATGAGTTACTTCTAGACGAGAATTGGATAGAGGAGGTAGACGTGGAGTCTGATTCTGATCCCACCGACAACCAAGCGGAACTCAAGCCAGCACAGTCCAGAGTCGAGATAGTAATCGAGGACAGCGATTGGGATGATGTGGAGATTGTGGAATGACGGACTGCTAGCGGCAATGCTTTCGGGGCTTCAAGACGATTTTGTACTCTCTCCGCTGGGAATGAACGACCATGGGCCGAGTTTTCTCAATGGCCCGATTGCATCTACATTCTTCATGCATTCCAGAACGGGTTCCAGAATATCCTGGGCGACCTCGTCGACCGGTCTTCCAGCATCGATGATACAGATTTCATCGTTATGCGGGAGCTCCAAGAGCGAGAGGAACAGCTCCCTCACACGTTTCTGCATTGTGTCGGTTTCGTAGCGCTCCACACCGAATCCACCCCTCTTAGCAGCCTCCTCTGGTGATATGCTCAGGAACAAGCACAGATCAGGTCGTGGCAATCCAACCTCTGGCTGCCATGCCCATTGAAGCGACAGGTTTGGATTACCTTTCGCGGCTGAGTAGACCGCCCCGGAGAAGGAGTAGCGGTCGACAATCACGGTGATACCCTTGGCAATGTCCTGCTGGATGCTCTGGGCTAGTTCCCACCGGTTCGCGGAGAAGAGAAGGTGGATGGAATGGTCGTCCAGTTGCGACTGGCCGCGTAGATAGCTATCGATCAGCTTGCCGATAGGCGTGCTTCTGTCTGCAGAGAGTGTTAGATTGGAGCATGTCGAGTCTGGCTCAGGATACGAAGTCTGGCATCGTAGATAGAGTACCTGGAAAGCGAATGTACTTGGCTTGATGGCCCATTGCCAGCAAATTGCGATATAGCAGCTCGCACTGGCTGGATTTCCCCGCGCGGTCGAGCCCTTCCACCACGATAAGAGCTCCGCGTTTGCCCTTGTCGCTCTCAGACAACTCTGCTGCCATCTTGAATGCTGTCGCCCTCTCGAGAGACTGGACCCTGCAGTCGCCGTCTCACACAATTGTGATCGTGCTGGGTGAGCAAAACCGTTTGAGAGGGGCCTTGCCTTTCCAGGCGGTCAGCGCGAAAGCACGGAGTAACAGGTAAATTAATAAACCTCCGCGCCGCGCGGATGCAGGATCTCCGTCCTTAGCCCCTCCTTGCTATACTCCGTACAGAGTACTTCGATTTCTCTGACCAGCGACGACGGCAATGGGGCCCGAGAGCCCGTCTCAGGAGGCTCCTGAGGAGATGACGAGTCCCTTCAGTCTGCTGCAACCCGCCCCATCAGTCCTTGCTCCACGCGTGGGCAAGTTTGCTGTCCCTGGCAGAAAAGCTATACAGACGCCGCACTATGTCGCGATCACCTCGCGGGGTTCCGTTCCCCACCTTACGCACGATGTGGTGCGCGATCACACCACGATTGGGAGCCTGTATTTTGGATTAGAAGATTGTATGTACAGTATCGTAGAAATCTCTCGCATATATGCTACTAAATTTCTCAGTGGCTGACCACCATCAGTGCAGTTCTAGAGAAGGCTCCCAACGAGGTTCCTCCCATATACAAGGTGCCCAGGGCACTGCACGAGTCGGCGCTCCGGAAGTTTGCGTGCCTGCAGGATGATATCCTCCTCGTCTTGGGCGCGCGGAGGGTTCCGCCCATCGTGTGCCCTCCAGCGAATACGGACAACTCGATCGGGATCCTCACGTCCTTCGGATACCGCCAGCTAGAGGCGGAGCAGTACATCGAAGCGGTGCAGAAGCTGCGACCGGATGTGGTCGTCGGGCTGGCGGACCTCGTGCTGGGTCAAAAACCTGGCGTCAAGAGGCGCGAGAAGATGGTAGATCGGACGCATGCGTATACCCGGGATGCGACGAGGCAGTTGTACGAAACCGAAGACGGTGCCGAGTCTGATTTGAAGAAGACGTTGTATTTTGCTCCCGTTCTACCGTTGGAAAATACCCAACAGACGCTGTATCTTGGAGACTTGGGCGATGAGCTGCGAGAGCACATTTCGGGTCTGGCTCTTTACGAGTCCTCGTCGCTCTCCGTCGTCCCGGAAGAGCTGGGCGACTTGCCTCGCTTGTCGTTCAGCGAGCCCAAGACCCCTCAGGAAGTGCTACGGGATATCGCACTCGGAGCAGACCTCCTCACCATCCCGTTCATCGGAGGCATGTCGGATGGAGGAATCGCATTGGATTTCGTCTTCCCTCCGAAGAAGGAGGAGCACAAGGAAGATCAGCAGGACGAGCCGAAACGAAAAGCCCTAGGAATTGACCTGTGGTCGCCTTCATACGCAACCGATCTGTCCCCACTGGTGCAAGGATGCGAGTGCTACGCATGCACGAAACACCATCGCGCCTATCTCCGACACCTGCTATCGGCGCGGGAGATGCTGGCGTGGACCCTCCTGCAGATCCACAACTACCATACCATGGACCGCTTCTTCGCGGCGGTCCGGGAGAGCATCGCAAACGGCACATTCGAAGAGAGCGTGGAAGCCTTCGAGCGGACCTACGAGTCATCTTTACCGCAGCAAACGGGACAAGGGCCGAGGTATGTCTACGAAACGAATCTCCTCTCCTCCTCCTCTTCCAGCACATCGAAATCGAATCCCACGTAATAGCTGACAATGTTTATTTGTTTTTTTCCAGACTACGAGGCTACCAAGTCCACCCCTCCGGCCCCAGCGAACCAAGACGAAATCCTCGCGCCTACGGCCGCTTAGACGACAAGGCCGAGAAGTTCGCCGAGGCATTACAGTCGTCTGTGGCGACGCCGGATGCAGACGCGGAGGAGCTTCAAGAGAGTGGTTTTGCGGAGAAGGAATGCTGATAATAAAAATAATAAAAAAAAGGATAGATATACATATAATTCTTCGACTCGATTCGATTCAATTCATGAAATCATTTAGTAAGGAGGTCAGAGGACCTGATTCTGAGCCTGAGCCAAGTACATACCTAGGCCTAGAGGAGTGCATACACGTACATACATAGTATTTCATTTCCGGATAATATAGGTTCCATTCCATTCCTCTCTCTATTTTTTTTAAGGTACCGGTATCATCATGATCGATCGGATCGTAATCTACAAGATTTTGTTTCGGTTTTTCATTTGATATAATGATTGAATTAGAGAAGTATACGGTTTGCATGTTCAGTTACTACCTGGCTCCTGCTCCTCACCAGCCAGAACCCGCCATAACATCTTCGCCTCTCTATCCTCTTCTGCCGAACCGGGCTCCGTGCCCGCGCCGTATCGCTGGCCGATGACACAGACCAGCCACACGTCCTTCTTGGTGGCATCGAGAAAGCGCTCCGTCGGCGAGCCGCGCGGGTAGATGCGGCGCCATTCGTCCCAGATCCGGTATGCCTCGTCGCCCCAGGCGCGGAAGCTGACTTCCTCGATGATCGTCGGCGTCGTGATCTCCTTCCCGCGGAACACGCCCCAGGTGACGGCCATGCCGCGACTGTTGTCGTGTAGCTCGCTGAACTCGTCGGCTGCGGAGCCCGTCCCTGCCCCCGTCGTCGTCGTCGTCGTGCCGGTCGCCAGGGAGAAGGAAGACTCAAAGTCGCCTGCTGCGTTCGTCGCGAACCAGGCGAATTCGTCTTCGCCGTAGCGCTGCAGGAGCGGCTTGATATACGACTGGTAGTCCTCGCCTGGGCAGAAGAATTCGACAAAGGCCTTTTGGAAGACAAACCCTTCGCCTGGCGGGCCCCAGCCGAATATGGGGTGGTCGCTTCGCACTCCGTTAACGGCCGGCTGCGATGCGAGCGTCCACCAACCCTTGTCGATGAGCTTCAAGAGCTCCGTGCGGATCGTCGCTGTTTCGGCATTGAGGCCTCCCGTCTCTTCCGGTGCTCCTCCCTCAGACCATGGTACAATGTGCAGTTCTCCAGACACATGCCTCCGGAAGAGCGTGTTGATATCGGACCGCGAAGTCGGGTATCCCCACAGTCTGCGAGCAACTGTAGCACTGACATGTAGAGAAGGACCGTAGCCGTCAATCTCACCGAAAGCCGGTGATCGGGCATCACCCCATCGCCCGTTGGGGAAGTCATCCCAGGTTGCTTCGCGACCTAGCGAACCAACTCCTTCAGAAATCTGTAGCGTGGTGCTGCGAGGAGGCGGGTTCATTGCCGGGACTCCCGCACTCAGTGCCGTAGTCTCATAGGAGAATGACCCTCCAGAGGACTTCTCCGACGGGACACGTAATTTGTCTACGATCACGCGATTATATGGTTGAGAGTTGATAGACGAGGCTCGACGACGGGAGCGCTTCTGGTTTTCGTCCAGCACTCCATTCTGGGCTGCAGCGATAACTGCGATATCCCGGTCCCTGTCCAGTTCATCGTTGTCCTCCGTCATGGGGGGTATAAGGTCGCAACGTTCGAGCACAAAGGAAACGGATTTCTCGAGGTTGAGGGTGTAGAAGTGGAAGCCTCGAGGACCAGGACAAGGAATGTCCTTGATACCATCCACGATTTCGCTGAGGATGTCCACACCGACCTGCTTCACCTTCTCGTCGTCCGACTTCACTTCCTCGACTCGGGAGAGGATATGGGGAGGGATGTTGGCATGACTGAGCTTCGTAACACGGGTGAGAATGTTGTAGCTCTGGATCGGCATGAGACCCGGAATGATGGGAATCGTCTTAAAGACCCCCGACTCGTGGTTGCGCAGCATCTCTTCGAATTTGCGATACGCCTCTAGGTCATAGGTTAACTGAGTCATGATGAAGTCCGCGCCCGCCTTGACCTTCTCCACCAGGTAAGGCAGATCCTTGACCGGATCTTGCGGCTCCGTGTACGAATCGCCCGGATGGCCTTCTGGATATGCTGCCACTCCGATACAGAAGTAGTCGCCGTGGACCCGTCGAATGTACCGCACCAGGTCCACAGCATATGTGAACTCCTTGTTGCTGTCATTCTCATCGTCGCCATCAATGTTGTACTCCTCGCTGCGGGGTGGATCTCCTCTTAAGGCCAGAATGTTCCTGATCCCCAGCACCTTTGCCTCCTCCAACGCCTCATCGACGAGTTTTCTGTTCATGTTCGTACACGTCAGGTGCAAGCATGTTGTCAGTTGCAGCTGGCGCTGGCAAATCTCCGCCAGCTCCAGGGACTTGGTGGCAGTCGTTCCTCCAGCACCCCACGTCACAGTCACGAAGAGCGGGCGAAGAGCTCGTGCCATACGTTCCAGACGGGCTTGCAGGTTGACCGATCCCTAAAAGAAGCGAGACATCGCCAGTCAGTTTCTGTCGCTCTACTCGGCCATGAACGCGGGGTTTATCAGAACCCCACCATCTGGGTTTTCGGAGGAAAGAACTCCAGGGAGAAATAATGCGCATCCGGCGGAAGCGCCGCAATCTTGTCGATGATCTTCTCCATCATGCCGGGATCTAGCCTGGCAGGTTCAATGGCGTTGCGCGTAGTTGCAATTCCCAGACGAGATCAGGGGCAGAATCGAGCGGGGTGCGGCAGACGGCGGGCAGCGATGCAGGCAGTGGCGATCTTATCTTCCCCACCGTTTCACATTACTGGGAGGGCATAGAAGACAGAGGAATATAGGAGTAAGAGTTCTACAGAATAATTCAGTGAGGAAAGGGATCAGGAGAAGGGAAGGGCACGAGAGAGAAATGATTTGCCGTTGCGACAATCCCGGCACATGGGCAGACGCTGTTTTGCCGGGATCCGCCTCCAGCTGAGGCCGATTGCGGACATGGACTGGTGGAGCCAGCAAGGCTAGGAATCGTGAATAGGGAGCTCAACAGCCGGATCTCGATTATTGTATGTATCGTCTACCAGAATTAGTCCCCTGCAGTATGGACAATACAGAAGTCCTGCAAGAAACGGACTGGTTACCGCCTTGAATGCTTGCAACGGCCTCGTTTTCAATGCGAAGAACAAACAATACAAACATTTCTCATATAGTCGGGATCCTTGCAGGCCAGCAGAACGTTATGGAAGATTGAATACGAGGTTGAAATACCTATAAAAGGAGAGCTGGCAGGAGGAAGACCCTTTTTATTAATTCTAATGATGTAAATAATATTATCTTCTTGTGACATGCCCACATCTGCTTGCGCATCTGCTCCCATTCAGTGAAAATCAATCGATCGCTGTTTGCCGTGCATCAAGGCACCGTCATGGCCTCGACCTCAAGGTCTTTGTCACGATTGTTCACCAGGGTGCCGCTGTCATCCTCATTCCGATCCTCCTCTCGCCGCGTCTTCTCGACAGCTCCTCCACCGCCGCCAAACGGAGCGCAATCTTCCGCTGACGCTCGTTCCCGCCTTCAACAACTGAACGCGCGCCTCCCAGCATTCCTGCGACGGTATACCACCCCCCTCCTGGGCGCCCCTGTCACCCACATCACGTCCTTCCTCATCTTGCACGAAATCACGGCGGTGGTTCCCCTCTTCGCCCTCGTGGCCGGGTTCCATTATGGCGGGTGGATGCCAGACCTGACTGGTGACGGGGGAGCGTTCGACGACGGCGTGAAGCGATTCGGGCGCTGGTTGAAGAAGAAAGGATGGGTGGAGGGCGACGATGTCGAGGCCGCTGCCACCGCCGCAGCTACGAGTGCTGATGGTCATGGAAGGCAGGAGCTGGCAGCGTCAACAGAGAAGCACAAGGGCGTACGGTTGGTGCTCGAGTTTGCAACGGCATATGCCATCACCAAGGCACTGTTGCCGATACGCATCACTGCCAGCGTGTGGGCGACACCCTGGTTCGCGCGGGTCTGCGTTGGGCCTATAGGCAGAGGGGTGCGACGCGTCTTCAGAAGCAATAAAGCATAGCCAGGATACGAATCTCTGCAGTCGAATTATGCGCGGTGTATATATAGTCTCTTGCAGGGTAAAGGTCATCATACAGCTTATACCCCTCATTGTCGTTTGTGAACCATTCTAGGCCACCATACCAGGAGGATTTACTTTCCTATTTGCAGAGAAGTTTCTTGATTTTCTACGCTTCTTTATCTGTCATAGCTCATTCCCCATAAACCCACATGGCTAGACTCGTTCAACCAGACATGCTGGATATTTATGGCTTCTCGTAGATCCAGTCGAACTGGCTGTGCTTGTACTGCTGGATCTCGTTCTCGTTGAACCAGAGAGCAATCTCCTTCTTAGCGTTCTCGACGCTGTCAGAGCCGTGGCAGACGTTACGGCCGACATCCTATCACGCGAAAGTCAGCGAGCTATCCGGAGGGATATATACACAGCTTGGGAGACCTACAATGGCGTAGTCACCACGGATGGTGCCAGGGGCAGAAGCAAGAGGGTTGGTGGCACCGAGGATGGCTAGCATTATTGTCAGCAGTGCATTCGGTATTCATGGAGTCCACGCGAAGACGTACCGCGGCCAGTCTTGACAACGTCACGGCCCTCCCAGACCATGGCGACGATAGGGCCACTCAGCATGTCTAATTCCCACATTAGCTTTATTGCCGAAGAAGCGCTTCTTTAGGACTAAATGTTGGAGAACTGACAGGAAAGGAGGCCAGGGAAGAAGGGCTTGTCGGCGAGCTCGGAGTAGTGCTTCTCGAGGAGCTCCCGGGAGGGAGACACCAGCTTCATGGCAACGAGCTTGAAGCTATATATACACTGTCAGCAGCCTATTGTCCTCAAGGAGGAGACAGTTTTCACTTACCCACGCTGCTCAAAGCGGGAGATGATGGGTCCAATCAGGCCGCGCTGGCAACGGGGTCAGCGAGAAGGGTTCGCGAACATTGTCGAACCAACAGGCCACTGTAGCTTCGACAACAGACTGAAACGAGGAAAAGGACATACCTGGACACCATCGGGCTTGATAGCGATGAAACTGCACGACGAGTTAGCTTCAATGCCACACAATAGGCGGGGACAGAAAATTCAGGGAGGGGGAGGGGTTCAGCCATGAGGGAGGGACGGCACAGAACAGGGGACTTACGTCTGCTCGTTGGACATCTTGGATACTGTGAGAGAGATTGCGGACTCCAGGTCAAGGAGACTGCTGCGAACTCGAGGACACGGGGGATTGAAGAGAAGAGCAGACTCTGGCGGGCTGCGTTGGCGAAAATATATTCGACTCGGACAGCCAGATGGTGGGGCTGGAGGGGTTCTCCATCCCCTGGTTGTCGCCGTGGACGGGCCAATGCCGGGTCCAGACGCTGCCAGAAGGCTGCATCTCGCTCTCTTTTTGCTGCCTGAGGGGAAAGAAAAGACTTCTGGAGAGTTCGACACGATATACACGTGTATCTCTTTTTAACAACTGATCTTTTGCAATATATTATATTGTAACACAAAGCAACACCTGTGTCCTTGTGTGTAAACAGAAACTCTTGGCCAGCTGCTAGTGTCTGCCTCAGCCACAGCTGGATGCCCTAATAGTCAGGGCTGGCTTAGCGGCCGCGCTGCCCCAGGTTGCTCCGGCCACTCGCCCAGCCAAGCTTATCTGGCCAGCTGGACCGAACGTGCAACGCTGCACAGGTGGTGTCTGACCAGTCCTGCACATAGATGGAGGTCAGCACATCTGTTTGCTGCTTCTAGATTGTCATTGTTGCAGATTGAGCCTCAATTGCTCATCCTTTCTTCCCGACCATGATCGGGTGCAGAGCAGCGAAGCTACAGCTGATGCTGTTCTTCGCTATCCTGAACCTTCTTGCCTATCTGGTCGTACCTGGCGGTGAGTCTCCAAGGATCGCAGGCCATAGATGGGCGGACCCAATATCCTGACAAGTCTGTTCCAGTCTCGGTGAAGCACGAGAACTTCAAGACCTGCTCCCAGTCAGGCTTCTGTAGTCGCAACAGGGCATACGCCGACGAAGCCTCCGCCCAGGGTGCCTCGTGGTCCTCTCCCTACGAGCTCGATTCCTCGTCGATTCGATTCGAAAATGGCCAGCTGCAGGGAACGGTCATCAAAACAACTACCACCAACGAGAAGGTCAGGTTACCTCTCACCGTGTCGTTTCTCGAGTCGGGCGTTGCACGGGTGGTGCTGGATGAGGAGAAGCGCATGAAGGGCGAGATCGAGCTGCGACATGGCAGCAAAGCCCGCAAGGAACGCTACAATGAAGCGGCCAAATGGACTCTCGTGGGTGGTCTGGATCCCAGCAAGTCCGCCGCTCTCAATCCCGAGGCCGATGCCGGCTTCACCAAGGTGCTGTACGGGCCGGACAACAGGTTCCAGGCCATTATCCGTCACGCTCCCTTGGAGATCCAGTTCCAGAGGGATGGCCAGACGCATGTCAAGCTGAACGATCGGGGATTCCTGAACGTGGAGCACTGGAGACCCAAAGTCGACGCGCCCAAGGACGGTGAAGACGCGAAGAACGCGGAAGACCAGAGCACTTGGTGGGAGGAGACTTTTGGCGGTAACACCGACTCCAAGCCCCGGGGCCCCGAGAGTGTCGGCCTGGACATTACGTTCCCTGGATACGAGCACGTGTTTGGAATTCCAGAGCATGCGGATTCGCTGTCGCTGAAGGAGACAAGGTAATTTCCATCGATTCCGCGGCGCATGATCAATTGTCTAATTGGTGACCAGAGGTGGCACCGGCAACCACAACGAGCCCTACCGAATGTACAACAGTGATGTGTTCGAGTACGAGCTCAACAGCCCGATGACCCTCTACGGCTCAATCCCCTACATGCAGGCCCATCGCAAGAACTCGTCGGTTGCCGTCTTCTGGCTCAATGCCGCCGAGACCTGGGTGGACATTGTCAAGACCAAGCCGTCGATCAACCCGCTGGCCTTGGGTGCCGCTGGCACGAAGACGACGCAGACGCACTGGTTCTCTGAGTCCGGACAGCTGGACGTTTTTGTTTTCCTCGGGCCCACCCCGCAGGACCTGACAAAAGCCTACGGGGAGTTGACGGGATACACACAGTTGCCTCAGCAGTTCGCCATTGCGTATCACCAGTGCCGGTGGAACTACGTGACCGACGAGGACGTGAAGGAAGTGGATCGGAAGTTTGACCGATACCAAATCCCCTACGACGTGATCTGGCTCGACATCGAGTACACGGACGGCAAGAAGTATTTCACTTGGGATCCGATGACCTTCCCAGACCCCAAGGGCATGCAGGAGCAGCTGGATGAGGCCGAACGCAAGCTCGTGATCATCATCGACCCCCATCTCAAGAACGAAGCCAACTGGCCGATCATTGAGGAATTCAAGAGCAAGGAGCTGGGTGTGCGGAATAAAGACAACAACCTGTATGAGGGTTGGTGCTGGCCCGGCTCGTCACACTGGATCGACTGCTTCAACCCGGCCAGCATCGCGTGGTGGAAGAGCTTGTTCCGATACGACAAATTTAAGGGAACTTTCCACAACACTTTTATCTGGAACGATATGAACGAGCCTTCGGTGTTCAATGGACCGGAAACCACCATGCCCAAGGATAATATCCATTATGGTGGCTGGGAGCATCGGGACGTCCACAACATTAACGGCATGACCATAGTCAATGCCACGTACCAGGGCCTGCTGGAGCGCAAGAAGGGCGAAATCAGACGCCCTTTCGTTCTGACGCGATCCTTCTATGCTGGAACCCAACGGATGGGAGCCATGTGGACGGGTGACAACCGGGCCAAGTGGGAATACCTGGCTGCCTCGATCCCCATGGTCCTGAACAACGGGATTGCCGGGTTCCCCTTCGCGGGCGCTGATGTGGGCGGCTTCTTTGGCAACCCCAGCAAGGAGCTCTTGACGCGCTGGTACCAGACGGGTATCTTCTATCCTTTCTTCCGCGCTCACGCCCATATCGACACCCGTCGACGGGAGCCGTATCTGGCTGGCGAGCCGTACACGGCCATCATCACGCAGGCGATCCGTCTGCGATACCAGCTCCTGCCAGCCTGGTACACGGCCTTCTACCAAGCCTCCGTGGACGGCTCGCCCATCGTGAGACCGCAGTACTACGTGCACCCGGACGATGAGCAGGGGTTCGCGATCGACGACCAGTTTTACCTGGGCTCCACGGGTCTCCTGGCTAAGCCCGTGGTGACGGAGGGGGCCACCTCGGTTGATATCTACTTGTCTGATAGCGAGAAATACTACGACTACTTCGATTATACTATCTACCAGGGTGCCGGCAAGCGACACACCGTTCCAGCACCCCTGGAGAAGATTCCTCTGCTGATGCAGGGCGGGCATGTGATCCCTCGCAAAGATCGTCCTCGCCGCAGCAGCGGACTGATGAAATGGGATCCATACACACTGGTGGTCGTGCTGGGGCAGGACGGCACGGCGGAGGGAACGCTGTACGTGGATGATGGCGAGACGTTCGATTACCAGCGCGGTGCCTATATCCACCGTCGCTTCCGCTTCGCCGACTCCACTCTCTCGTCTGAGGACATTGGAACCAAGGGCCCCAAGACTGGAGAGTATCTGAAGACGATGGCCAGTTTGCGAGTGGAGAAGATCGTGGTGGTTGGCGCTCCGGCGGAGTGGCAGCAGAAGTCGAGTGTGACGATTGAGGAGGAGGGAGCGAAGGCTGGAGCCACGGCTCCATTGCAGTACACTGGACCGCAGGGAGGCAAGGCAGCGTACGCGGTGGTGAAGAACCCCAATGTGGGCATTGGTAAGACGTGGAAGATCGAATTCTAGACAATGGCATTGTATCTGCACCAGGATTTCGGACATGGCTTTGTTCAGCTAGTTTCACCGTTAGAATAGACGACGGAATGTCGAATATATAGTCTTGCATTTATTCCAGTCTAAAATTGTAATGGCCCCCGTAGTAAGCAAGTCGTAAGGCTCGAGTAGGACAACAGCTATTGTATAGGTAGTGTTGTGTTGTCATGCGTTGTTGACGGCGGATCGACAGGAGACGGACCCGCCAGCCATCAGATAACTGCGCAGCCCCCAACCGCATCCGGCGGATAAGCTGGGCACTAAGGCAATCTTCTCGCTGTCTCCTCTATCAATGCTGCTCGCTGTCTGGGCTTCGAGCAATTATTACCGACCACACATCGCATGAGCACAGAACAGAGGCCCGCCTCGTCGCTGCGCATCCAGTCCATCCGTTCCCGACGGGTGGAATAATAACGTTCACCGGAATTGTCGGAGCGTCACCCAACTACGTCAGCAGCGCGGAGGAGGCATAGTTCACCGCGCATTCGAATTCACACTCGCATCTCTGGCCAAAGGACATCGCTTTGTCCAGTCGGAGAGAGACAGAGGGAATAATACGTACCAGCCAGACTCCGTCGTGACAGTCTTCCTTCGAATCGCGCAGGCACCATGTGGCTCGTCTCGCTCGTCATCGAATATGCGGCGCCGTTCTTGTATGTGCAGCAAAGACTCTGATGATGGCAGGAACTGGTTCCTGGATATTAGTACGTGCTAACGAGAGATTCATTCCAGTCTGATCACCGCCCCCATCACCTCCTATGCCGACCAAATCTACAGCATCCACCGGACGAAGAGCTCCGCCGGGTTCTCGCTGGACATTCCGCTGATCATGCTGGTGGCATCGATTCTGAAGTGAGATTTTTTCCATCCGAAGGACTGATTTGTCGTGTCGACACGGGCGATGCTGACCGCGCAGGATCTTCTACTGGTTCGGGGCCTACTATTCCGTCTCGCTGTTGGTGCAGGCAATCAACATGGTGTTTGTGCAGCTGCTTCTGCTCAAGGTTGCGTTGGACAACCGGCCCTCTCCGGGGATGAAGGAGGGCATCGAACACATCCCGTTTAGCGGACACCGCCAGGAGTCGGATCTGGGGTTCGCGCGGCCCTACAATTTCTGGCGCTGGAGGAGCGAGCGGCCGTAAGTGTCGTCCTGTGTCTACGCTGCTTACTTTGGACTCGCAACGATTGACGGTGTACAGCTACTGGACCTTCCTGGGGTACTTCGTCCTCTCGCTCTTTGTCGTCCACGTCTTCCTCCCCTTCATCTCCCGCACGGAATCCTATATCAATTTCCTCGGATTTGTCGGTCTCGCTGTCGAAGCCTTCCTCCCGGTTCCCCAGGTGCTGGCGAACCAACGCTCGCGGTCTTGCAAGGGATTCCGGCTGTCCGTGCTGGTGGCATGGCTTCTGGGTGATGCGATGAAGATGAGTTATCTGTTCTACACCAAGGACGTCATCCCGGTGGCATTCAAGATGTGCGCCATCTTCCAATGCATCTGCGACTGCTATCTGGGCGTTCAGTACTGGATGTTCGGAGACGGCTGGACAACGGTGGGCACTCGGGAGAATGGCCAGCCATGGGGGTCAGAAGAGAAGGACATCCGGCTGACCTAGTTGTTTTCATTTTCTGTTCTAGATATATATATATACTTATAGTAGATGGCATTCTTTGAATAAAATTTTCTTCGTTGTGTTGTGACCCGTGACAAGACACCGGGACGACGCTATTATATCATCGTGATTTTGTAACTCCGCAAGCAGCCGAAAGGACCGTTTCGTCCTCAACCCCGCGGAACCCCGCCATCATTCATTCATTCCATTCCATTCCCTTCCTGCAGGAAAGAATCCTGGCCACAAGAGACCTCAATTGGGCGTCATCTTCCGCTTGCGTATCGTATTGCTAGTGTCGATATCCTCGTGTTGCGGAACAATTGACAATGGCCTCGAACAAGCCCACCATTCGAATAGGCTATGTGCCTGGTATGTCGCGTCCACGCGTGTGATTTTTTTTCCCGCCCATTACTGTTCTCAGAACGAATTCGTTTCAGTACAAAAGAATGCCGACGAGCTGACGACCTACAGAACACTACCTCACCCCCCTGCACCTCGCCCTCCGCTCGCCCGCCGCATCCTCCCTCCCCTTCGACATCTCCCTGGTCGAGTTCCCGTCCGGCACGGGCCACATGATCACGTCGCTGCGGGGCAACGAAATCGACATCGGCATCGGTCTGACGGAGGGCTGGGTCGCGGGTCTGACGGGCAAGCAGCAGCTGTACGAGAACAGCGTGTCGGGCGGCTACAAGATTGTCGGGCAGTGGGTTGAGACGCCGCTGCGGTGGGCGATCGTGACGGGTCGCGACCGGAAGGAGCTCAACAGCGTCGATGATCTGAAGGGGGGGAGAGTGGGAGTGAGTCGGTTGGGGAGGTAGGTCTGCCGCAGGAAGAAAACCTGAGGGTGAACGTGAAGTCGTCTGGGATAATGGCTAATCTATGCAGCGGCTCCCACATCATGTCCTTCGTCCTGCAGCAACAACAAGGCTGGCCCGAAGATGCGCTGAAGACGGTCGCGCTGGGCCCGTTCGGCGCCCTTCGCGACGGCGTGACGCCGTTCAAGGAAGAAGACCCCAAGCAGGCAGGCAAGCCGGCGGCTGAGTTCTTCATGTGGGAGCACTTCACGACGAAGCCGTACTTCCACCCGAACGAGCTGAAGCCGAACCCGCCGCTGAAGAAGCTCGGCGAGATCTACACGCCCTGGCCGTCGTGGCTGATCGTGGCGTCGACGACGACGTTCCCGGACCCGGAGAAGGACGCCAACCTGGCGCAGCTGTTCAACCTGTTCGACGAGGGCATCCGGGCGTTCGAGACCAAGCCGGACGAGGTGGTCGATCTGCTGGCGACGGGGGAGCTGGGCTGCACGTACTCGGAGGAGGATGCCCGGGAGTGGATGAAGGACGTGCGGTTTGTGCGCGACACGACGCGCGGGTTGGACCGGAGGATTGTGGAAAATGTTGCTGATGTGCTGAAAAAGGCGGGTGTGATTCCGCTGGAGATGAGCAATGATGAAGTGGTGGCGAGGGTGACTGGTATTTCTAAGCAGTAATACGAAGACGTCTGTATGTATGTATGTACAGTACATAAATATCTTATTCTTCTCCTACACAAACATACCTCGTCATCATATCTTTGATATATTTATAAAACCGTACAAACCCTAAGGCATGTCCCTGGTATATACTACAAATATACGGGATATACATATCTGGAAATATCCATTCCCGGCAGATTCCTGGACAAATTCCCTACAATACATCTACTATGACTAAACGGGATGTAAATCGATATTATATACAGTATAGTCCCGGTAATCGAAACCAAGGAAATCAGTCTCGAGGACCAGTTACTGACTGACTGACTGTGTCAGGCAGCAGCAGACTCTCTTGACTCACTCACTGATTTTATTCCTTACTTACTTCCTCTCGATTTTTTTCTTTCTTTTCTCCCTCTTTACCTACATAGATACTTACTCTCATTTTATTTATCCCTTGGATATTTCACACTTCATAGTAATAACGCCAGATCCTCATCCATACATACAATATCATATCATCAACACCAACATCAACATCATGAAGAAACCCCTTCAAGAAGTCGGACCCGGTTTTGGGACTCTTCGCGCAGCATGCGATTATTTTCAGATTCATTATTTTTCTTCTTCTCCTTGGATCATTCTAAACTCTTCAGCATCGTCATCTTCTTCTGGCTCTGGCTCTGGCTCTGGCTCTGCGAGTGAAAGTAAGGAGAACTACTCCTCCTCGCAGGTGGAATTGTCTCCGCATGTTGGTGAGTCGGTTTTTTTCCCCCTCTTTTTACCTATATAAATACTTCTACTGTATATAATGGATGTATAGTGTATATACTGACGACAAGTGATATACAACCAGAAACGAACCTAACCACCCTCCCCCATCATTCCTCAGACTTTACACATCCAGCGGTCGAGCTCATTTTAGGATATCGACTGAGTCGGTTCAATACCGTTATGCTTGCGGGTAGGGACAGGGTCAAGGACAGGGTCATCCCTGACCTCCACTGCGTTGAAGAGCTTGCATTGGTAGAATCGTTGCCAAACAACAATACCAGCAGCAAGAATTGTTCCTACGACGTACCAAGAATCACGCGCCTCAAGCACGCAGAAATCAAGTCCCAAAGCAGGACATATCTAACCATCGTGGAAACGAGCAGTTATGGCGATAACGATATGTCTCCTATGGAAGCAGCCATGGCCCAAATCCCTATTTACCTCCGCGCGAGACTGGAAAAACATGACCTGGAGAAACCCACCACCACGAGCACGACGGCTTCTTCTAGCAGTTTTTTCTACGGCATCGCAACAGACAGCCTCCACTGGTGTTTTTTCTGCCTGGTCCGGATACAGACAGGCAGCTACAGGAGACAACGGCTTATTCGATCGCCCATCTTGAAGTGGTGCGCAGCGCAGAAGAGGGAGGTTTTGAGATGGATTGATTTTGTGCTTGAGAGGGGTGCGCTGGGCTTGGTTGATGATGCTAGCAATGCTGGCGATTCTGGCGATATTTCAGGCAATTCTGGCGAGAATACAGGCGAGATGATATCTTCATCTTCTAGCTCTGGAGGAAGAAGATGGAAAGAAGAAGCTGATGAAGAAGAGGAAGAGGAAGAAGAACAAGAACAAGAGGATGACTACGAACCCAACGACGACAAAGAAGAAAGAACTACTATCACCAGCCCACCCAGCATCGGCTGCAAAACAGGTATTCTTATCGATGTCGACGACGATGTCGACGATCGTGTTTGTGACATTGCTGCTGCTTATGCAGACTGGTACATGCACATGTATCACATGTATACAGCAGCAGGAGCAGGAAGAGCAGGAGGATACAAGTACAGTACATGATGTGAGCATAATCTCCTAGGAGCAAGCATGGAGATGAGATAGATGATGAAGGTGTATTGAATATACCCCGAAGTCTGCCTGGATAGGGACGAGATTTCGGATATGTACTGTACACTTCGCTTACGGGTTGCAGGGCAAAGAGAGATTAGTGATACAACTCTTGACATGTCATTACTATTTGTTTATCTTAGTGTCAGCTAAGCAGCCATTTCTAAGTTTTGAC